GAAACGCACGGACAGGAGATCTCGATTCCCGAGGCATTTGTTTTCGCGGAGGATGTTATTTGTTTCAGTTCACCTGCATGTGATGGTGTGTAATTAGGCACAGAATCCGCCTGAACGAAGTAATTGTGGGAGGCGGTTGAGCATTGTTTTTCGTTATCCGGCCGCAGGAAGCCTCACTCATAATTTTTGGCATGCATCACTCACTTCTTGATCCGACTTATTGTGAGAGAAGGATGAAAAAATCGTAGGGATTGGAGAAAAAAATCGAGAGAGAGCGAAAGATCGCTATCAGTCGCGGGATCATTAGAGGATAATATGGGAGTTGACGTCATGTTATTTTATTGTCCGTGCCGGAGAATAAGGTAATTATGTTGCTTTTATCTCGCGAGCACGTATGCACTTGACAGACACGTGAAGTCGGCCGCAAACAAAGTGTAAAAATTCTACGAGCAGCGCTAATTTCCAACATTCTATCACTGTTGCAAATTGTGCCAGAGAAACTACGTGTTTATTGTAAAGTCTTGACATTTCTCCGGCAGCAGTTCAACAATTTTATGACCGATCTCGAACCTTTATATTCGACTTTTGGCGCTCCACTTTTCCGAACACAAAGAGCACCTCCTCATCGCGGACCAATTTGACCGATATGAATCTCTCGCCCTTCGATTTTCCACTCTCTCGCGATCAATCACCAGTCACGTTCAAGGTCTGCTTTTGATTTTGTAACGTGTCCGATGCCCTTTTTGTTTCCTTTATGTGCCTCCACATCCTGATATTTATTTTGCACTCGCCTCTGCTGATGCTTCTCGTTTTCTCTCTCCTCCGTCCTGCACGCTCGATGGCGCCCTGAAATTACTGGAGCATTAACAAAATAGCAAATAAAAAGCTCGTTGTGAATAAATGAAAAAAGGAATAAATAAATTCACCATCGACGGCGTGCAGCCCGATTGTTGTGCCATTATAATTTATAAAATGTTGAAATATCCTGTCTCTTTTCTTTCTCATCGGTTGGCCAACGAGCTAATTTTCCCACCAAACGAATCCTCATCAGAAATTGCAATCTCCGAAATTATTCTATAATCGAAATCGAAAATAATTCATGCAACATCATAATAATAATTGTAAATCGATTTCTTTGGCTTCCGCGTATGCTGCAAATAATTAAGTTGTTAAAGAGCAGTTTTCACCGAAATAAAATTGAAGTCCGGATGTGTGCTCGGAGGCATTGTTTTCCTAAGTGGTTTCAGTTTACGATAATGACAATGATTTTTGCCGGACAAGAAGTGTTCGTTCGTAAATATGAGCTCTTAAGATTTTCGAATTAATTGGCGTGCAGAGAGTGCAGCTGCTGATGGTTTTGATTCGCGTCGTGACTCTCCGTCGGCAATGAAATGGAGTTTCTGAAAGCGACCTGAGGCCCTTAATAATTATACACAAAGATGCAAAAATGCGATGACGAAATGCATAACGTGATTTCATTTCTGCCGCGGTGGAGAAAGTGAACGAAATGCATTGAGTCTGTCCAATCAAATTGAAAAGGATTCGGGCGCATCTCTCTGTACCGCGGAGAGAAAAGAGGTCTTGTGATCTTTTTGCGGCGGCCTCTATATACATTTGAACAGTTAGGCCTGTCGGCTGTGTGTGTATTTGTGCCGAGCGATTTCGCGAATGTGTGCCTCCCTAATTAAATTTGTGTTATTTGACCGAACAATCGCGGCCAGTCGGCGCACCCGTTGAGAGCGATTAAATCGGAGTCACTATTGTAATTAATTTTAAATTCCCATACTGATTCTGCTGCATCATCGTCTAGATTGCTTTCTTTCTTTATATTCGGGGTTATCTTTCATTTGTATTCAAAAGGAGAGCGACGGGTTCAACCTCGCCTTAATTGCATAATAATAATTTGGAGATGTTTGTAATTTAAAAATATGAGGGAGCGGAATTGAATACAGGAGAAGGCTATTATTTATTTAACCTATTCAAAAGATTTATTAAATTTAAGTATCTGTTGTGAACTGGTAATTAGATAAAATTATGCTGGTGTGTTAAAACCCTTTCCTCTCTTGTTTAATTTTTTATCGGCAGAGAAGAATAAATAATAATAAAACAAGGGATTGCTTTTTACGGGATGTCGATATAAATCTATTTTGTTAATAAAATTTACTGAAAATTGAAGAATACAGAGTAAAAATAATTTCTATGGTCTCAAATTGGAGCAGAACATCACTTAATTTTGAGCTTCTAAAAAAAAGATAAAGATAAACTTATTATATATCTTTTTTCTTTTTTTTTAATTATCCAGATATTAAAAAGGAACTATTTTTTATCCGAGTTCAAATTTAAAAAAATTAAAAAAGGAAAAATTATCCCTCCTGATTTTTATTTTTCAAAGGTTGATTGAATTTCAGTTTTCCATGCAGCAACTACGAAAGGTTCCCTCCGCCCATATCGATTTTCAATCATGCCCCAGAAAGCAGCAGTAGCAGGACGTAATCAGGCGATTTTATCTGCCGTTCCGCGCCTTAATTACCCGAGAGCGCGTTAAGCTTTTTTTCGCCACCCCGCGGCGTGACTCACTCCACGTCTCTCTTTACCGGATGGACACCTCTCTCCACACGAAAACAAACGCAAACTCCCTTCTTTCATTCTTGGCCAGTCTTTTCGCATAAAAAGCGCCGCGTGCTGAATAATTTATGCTGCGTGTTTATTGTTCGCCGGTCCTCCCCCGCGGTATATTTAATTGCCTCGCACCTGATAATGGCCCTCGCATGCACGAATTCCGCGGCGGCCTTCGGGCGGCCGTTGACACGCGGGTGCATTCAAATGAGTGCCCGCCGCTGGACCAGCCGCGCGACGACAGGAAAAGCCGCTCGGCGGAGGCGGCAGGCGGGCGGGCGGGGGCGTTTTATCGCGCGCTACCGATGAATTGCCCGTGTGGTGCTCCTATTGAGTCACTCACTCGAAACGGGAACCAGCTGCCGGTAAGTCGCAAACAACTACAGCATGTGTTGGTTTTCTGAAATCCCCATTGCTTGATTTTAATATTGTATTTGGTAATAATAGGGGATTTTTTTTATTTTACCCTTCAAAAGCAAATGAGAACATAATACTAAAATATTCTATTTAATTATTAAACGGTTAATTTATCATTTAAGTTCATTTGAATTGTGAACAATACTTTACTTATACTTAAATATTGTAAAATTAAATTTTGCAGAGCTTTAAATCATAAAAAAAACTCGAACTGATTATGTTAAATCAATCAAAATGTATTTTAATTTCCCAATTTATTCAAGAAATAGCAATTATCGCGTTAATAGTTTTTTAACCAATAAACCTGGTTGGAAATAAATTATGCAAAATGAATACTTAGATGTCGCGCGGGATGCATAACTTCTCAAAGTGCTAATTAAATCTTATTATTTATGCGCAGCAAAATTTATTAAATGACTCTTGAGGTTTATGCATTGCAAAAAACACCATGTCTGATTTGCCAAGATCCTGTTCGCAATCGTAAAATCCTTTCGGAGGCATTAAAATTTAACGAATCGACCGACTCTCTGCTGACGTTTTTTACTGCTCGGCAGTAAAAGCGGAAAAGGCGATAGCGGGCGGTGAAAAATATTGTATTGAAACGAGTGCGTGTCACTCTGTGGGAGTTTCATGTGCACGGCGATATTTTGCAAGGTCTTCTCTCGTTAAAAATATTTTTTCCACGCTCCACCGGCGCAGCTGAATTTCGGACCGAGAGTAACACTAATGGCTTCGCAGGCCGGCGCGTCAATGAAAAAAGGGCAATTGCGTCACCCAGAGCTGCTTTTTATTTTTAACCGCGGCGGTGCACTTGAGGATTTGCCAAGATGCGCGTCTCGTGATTCACACAACACCGAGCGTATAGAGATGAACAGGCACTCTCGGTTCTTTCTCTCGTCGCAATTACGATTGTGTGTGTCCGCAACAGCTAACTCGGCGTCAGGCACGGGTGGTCCCTTTTGTAATTATGAAAATGTTTCAATGAGTCCTTCGATCTTTTCGCTGCCACGGGGCGGAGGCACAAAGAACCCACCTGCTGGTAGAGGCGCTCTTTTAATTAATAGACGCTGACCTCTAAAAAGACGACGCCCGGCCGCAATCATCGTTCCTCTTTGTTTTTTGCTTTTGTTCTTTGTGTGTTCGAGCAAACTGCACTCGATCTGATGCGACTCTCGTGACTCGCGCGTCGAAAGCGGATTTGCTCACATGGGCCGCGAGTGTGATGTGTGCCAGTTAATCCGTTTCGCCGCAGCCGAAATGAATTAAGATTGAGATTAACTTGAAAAGCTACACAGCTGCTGAGCTTGAATCTTTCTCTATTTCACTTTTCTTATATTGTGAGATACTTTCTTTAAATCCAATGTTGAAAGTTACTTGAATGTATATAAGAATTTTCTTTTAATTTTATTAAAATCAAATTAAGAATTTTTCCAAAAATCTTCAAATTGTCTAAAATTTACAAAGATGTATTTGCTTAAAATTAATATTTAGTTCAGCCAGAAATGTAAAAAAAAAAAAATATAAGCATTCGTTTGCAAATCTGTTTTTATATTTTTATTTATGTTTGTCCTTGAGGTTGCCCCCTCGGCCTCTTATTATTTTATACACTTCAAAATAACAACAAAACGCTTTTGAAGGTGCAATAGTCGAACGTTATCTCTCAACATTATTCGTTTTTAATAAGGCGACGAATTTATCGCATCACGTCATCGGACGCGGAATTATCTGCTCTCGTCTTATCTGCCTCACGATTAAGCCTTGTGTGCAATTACCGCGGCTATTCTCATTACCTGCACCAAAGGCAAAAACTGCAATCACTACTCCTAAACCCGCACGTCCACACAGCGGAAGAAAAAATCAAATCACGTAGACAGTCTGCAAGGTTCCAGAATAACCCTCTATATTTTTATAATTAATTGCTATCAATTATTTCCGATTTTATTAAACTTTGCTCTTTTGTGTTTCAGGCGCTTCAGGTGGACATCGAGAGCCACGGCAAGACCCTGAGTGGCCTTTTGCGTTTGTGCCAGCAGCCGTCGTCGATCGGAGCGTCCGGAGACTGCAGCGGTTCCACGAGTCGAGCGCGCGCCCTCAAATTAGCCCAACGCTTGGAGAAGCGCTGGCAAATCCTGTACTTGAAGAACTTGGAGTGGATTCTGCACTTGGAGAAGAGCGGCGCTGTAAGTAAAACCTTCAACCGCAACTGTAACTCGCTTGCCAGACGAAAACACGCACACGCGAGCGGTCGCCAGTCTGCGTCGACTCGGGCTCGCGACCAGTCGACTGCGCGTCATTTTTGTTTCTTTTGGCCAGCCGGCCGCTCGATTGAGATGCTTTTCGCCTTCTACGGCATCCAGATGGACGTGGTGAACACCCTGTTCGCCGTTCTCGGCTCCACCCTTGTCATTGTCGCGGCCAAAATCGCCACCTTCGCGGTAAAGTGCAAAGAGAGCCAATTTTTTATATCATTATTAATTAATTGCATTATTCATTTAGCATAACAAAAACACATTTAAAAGTCTTCATTTTTAGTTTATAGACCCATATTAATTTTTAAAATAATGTCTTTTTTTCTCTAAATTTCTGTTAAATTTACAGTTTTTACTGCATATTGATTGAATATATGCGGTTGATTTGAATTTAAAATTTTATTGAACGGAGATTATTTTCTTCGTCTGGTTTGATGCTTTATGCGGCCTCAAATTATAATTCTCTCATCCTAATGGTGTTTGAGGCCTCGTGCCAATTTTCGACCCGAGGCTTCTTTTGTTTTTGTTTATTTTCGCTCCTTGCGCGCTCTTCCTCCCCTCACGTGTGGTGTATTGGCGAAAATAATTTCACTTGATTCAGTGCTGCGTCCTGCCCGGCTCACTCTCTTTTTTGCTTCGTACCCGAGACGGCGATTAATTGGTCCCGAGGGTCGCAGCTCGCCGGCCGGCTGACTTTTATGCGTTTCCTCTCGCTCTCTCCAAAGACAAATTTATGAACTGACCTCACCACGCCAACTACAATTTTAGAACGCACCTCACGTACACTTCACATGTACTACTATTTGTTTTGGATGCTCCAACTTAAGTGCCGAAAGAAGTAGCTCGCCGCTCTACGGGCGGTCAAAGAATGTGTGTTTTAACCCTTCTTTTACAAGGCCTTCTCTGCACCGGTTGTCATGCTCGTCGTGCGGTTTCTCCGCGGCGAAACCGCACGTATGCCGACATTTTTTTAGTTAGTCGGTCGCTGCAAATGGCACACAGCACTCATAACCAAGCGCACACACTCGCGAGAAAAAGCAATTGGCTGCAAAACAAACCGAAAAGCAAACACACGTGGTGCGCTGACGCGAGAGAGTTAAATAAATAATGCGAAAGAGTTTAAAAATGAATTTCGCACAGTCAGCACGAACCTCTTCAAGTAATGAAATTGAATGGAGTATCTCATTTCAGTAAAATTAATTGAAATTGCGAGCTAAAAATAATAAACAATGCATATTTTAAAGAATTTTGCTCGTTCTATTAATTTTGAAAAAGTTTCATATTTATTTAATCACATCATTTTTAGCTACAAAAATAATTAATAAAAATAAAGTGAATACAAAGTTGATACATCACAATAAAATAGAGCTATGTAAAGATATGCGTTAATATAGAGACGTTTAAAATGAAATTAAATTTTAAGTAAATAAATAAAATAAGTTGAGTAAATAAAATAAATACTGCATCAAAAATTTCAATTAGTCACTTTAGCAAAATTCAGGATTCTCACGTTTAAAACAAATCCACGGCAATAACTCTATCTTCAATTATAATTTTGTATTGATTAAAGCACTTTGTAACAAATTTTTATTTACATATTTCCAGGATACACCAAGCAGCGAAGCGGCGACTGACTCTGACGAGGATGAGCCTGGCGTGACTCCTGCGCGCAAGAAGCGACTCCTCGAAGTGATGAGTCCCGACGTGTGCACCAAAGGCGAGCAGCTGCTCGACCTGGAGTCGCAGATGCGATTCACCCAGTCGGGCAAGAGCTCCGTGACCAACAGCGCCGTTTACTACTACAAGCACTCGACCACCGAGTACTCGTCCGAGGAGGACGACGACGACACCGGCTGGACGTTCCGTCCGCCGCGGCCGCAGCCGTCCAAGCACGGCCGCCATTCCTCCTCCTCGTCCGTGTCCTCCTCGCAGCCGCTGTCCGAGCGCAGCGCCACCACCTCCTCCACATCCTCATCCTCGTCCTCCGAAGACCTCAACACCTCTGTGGCCACCTGCATCGGCAACGTGGTCATGCGGCCCAAACGCAGCCCCCAGCGCGTCAAACGCCGGCCCGTCAGTCTGCCATTCTCGCTCATGTCACCCGAGGCGGCCACCACGCCGACGGCCGCTGCCGGAAAAACGTGCAGCGAGACCAACCTGGCCGTCTTTGCCAGGAGGAAGAGAACCATGCGGCGCTCAAAGCGGAGGCTCCTCATGGCTTCGGTGAGTTTGCACAAATTTAACAGTATTTTATATTTGGCATTTCCTATTTTTAAAAAGACATTCTTAACAAGAAGTGCTGCAGAAAAATCATTTAATGAAAGAGAGATGAAAAATATGCAATCAAAAAATGTATTTTTTAATTTATCAATGTCTAATTAATTACGTTTTCTCTTTCATAGCAGTCCAGTGAGTCCGAGGACAGATCAGCGGTTGTGAGATCCTCATCCTTCTCAGGCACTATCTACAAGTCGCCGTCGCCCAGGCCCGACGGCTGCCATAGCGACCCAAGCAGCTGTCTCCGTCTGCGTCGCACCAGCGGCCGATTGGCTGCCGTCGCCCCAATACCTGTGGCCGAGGAGAGTGGCGAACCCTCGTGGGACAACTACCAGGAGCGCTACAACTCGGAGGCCTACAGTGAGGACCCACTGGACGCAGAGGCTGCTCGTCGTCTGCTCGAATTCGGCGACGACTACAGCAGATACCTTCGCAGCAACAGCCCTGTCCGACGGGTACGGAAATTTAACTATTAATTTTTCAAGTTGAATTAAAATTTATTTTATTCAAATTGAGTAAAAGTGAATTATTAAAAATAAGGATTTAATATGAATTTAAAAAGTTTGTGCAACTCAACAGAACTTCTGTTTATTTCTCCTTTTTTTTTTTAATCAATACTTTTAGCATTTAAATTAAATGAATAGTTTCACAATGGATCCCAATTTTTTTATCAACTTTGTAAACAATTTGAAGAAAAATTTAAATTATTTCTTAGTTAATTACATTTTTTCTTCCAAACTGTGCTTTTCTGAAAATTATTAATTTAATGAAAATTTTTAAATATTTTGCAGGAAACTGTTGGTCAGGACAGTGATTCTGAGGTTGAAGAACTGCGCTACGTGCTCAAACTGTCCCAAGAATCGCTAGCCTTCACCTCGCAGCGCCTGCAATTGGCCACCGACCGCTTTGACGCCGTCGTCTCTGAAGCCCTTGGGCCGGAGAGCATTGTCAGCATTGGCGAGTTGGCCGAAATGGCCGCCACCTGCAGGGAGAGCCGCAAGTGCGTCGAGCTGGTCATCTCAAGGATTGAGCAGGAGGCCGCTGGTGTGGCTGACATGCAGTTGATCTACGAGTTGCTGGAGCAGTGGGAGGACCTCGAGTCCAAAACCCAGGAGCTGCAGAGGGCGTCAAGCCTGGCCAGAGACGTCGCAGCACTCAGGCAGTCGCTAGTGGTGGTCCAAGGGTCTCTCGGCCCGAGGGAAGAACACGACTCGAGGAGGCAGTCGCGTCTCGAGAGTCGGATTTGCTTGCAGGGAAAACTGGAAGTCATCAGAGTGAGTCACCCTTAAATTAAATTGTTATCTTATGTTTAATCCTTGATAATTTTTCTAAATTTTGCCCTTAAAAGAGAAATATAAAATCTGATTTATATCTTTAAACAAAAATAATAATGAATAATTGTCAAAAATTTAATGTAAACTATTTATTTGTGAAAACGTGGACAATTAAATAATAATGATAATTATAAATTGATTTTTTATCTTTTTCTAGGAGCAATTGGCCTCTTTGACAGGCGTGAAGTCCCAGCTGTCGGAGATGAACTCGCTGATCCAGCGCTTGGCCACTGAGGACAACGGTGCCATCACCCAGCAGATCAAATCTGTCCTTCGAGGCCAGATTGGCGAGCTGTTTGAGTTGTGGGAGTTGAACAACCAGCGGCTGAGCGTCGAGCTGGGTCGCACCCAGCAGCACTTGGCCGCCTGGCAAGAGTTGGACAGGCAGTTGTCCATGCTGCGTGGTTGCCTGCTGCGCGACCGCGAGAATCTGCTCACAAGACACAAGGACGACAGCGGCTCCCTTAGCGACTCCGGCATCTCCGACGCCGGCTCTGACGTGCTAGAGGCCAGAGGTCAAGAGCTGATGACCCTGAGGGCGCTCGCTGACCAGCTGCCCGCGCACACAAGGAAGGACATTGTCCAGGTAATTAAAATATTCAATCTAATTTCATTACCTTATTTCTTTTCTTTTTAAATTAGCACTTTTTACTTAAAGTAAATTAAATTATTATTTTGAAATAATTTATTAAATCGTCTTTGTGGTCTGTTTGGATGGATTATTTAAAATAAATTTCAATTCAGGCAACAAAGTTTTGGATATTATTCATTAATCTTCATTAATCTAAAATTTAATTAAGCATTTTACAATTTAATCTGTTTACGGAATTAATATTAAAATAACATTAAAATTGCAGGAGCTTGATGCTGCCGAGAAAGAGTTGGAGCAGCTTCGTCTGTACTCGAGCCAGAAGAATTTGTCGTTGGCCGGCCTGAGCTGCGGCGCCGTCGTCGGTGCTGCCGGCGACGATGACAAGGAGAAGCACTGGCCGCGCCACTGGCTGAAACTGGTGCCCCTGTGCGTGGTGACCCTGGTGGCCGTCGTGTGCTCGTTCCTGCAGCCGCCCAACTGCTGTGAGTATGTCGACTCGTCGGGCAAGTACTGGGAGCTGCTCAAGCTGCAGCACGGTCCTCCGCCCGTCTGAACTCGGCCGCGCCGCCGCTTCTCTAACTCTCCATCCAGTTACCAATCAGAGTGTGTTTTTTTGTTTGTTTTGGGCTTCAGAGCGAACGCCGCGCGCTGCCCCCTGTCAGTCTGTCGCTATGTGTACAGTACAAATCGTTAGCGCCTATTTTCAATTCGGGGTAAGCGACCAAACGAGCTCCTTATCATTGTCCACTCATTCGGCAGCAGGGTCTCTCTGTATGTAGAACTAACCACTCTTTGCGCCTCACTCCTCTTTCTTTGACGCCTGTGCATTTTGTTGACTTTTCACAGAGTTTATATATATATATATTTATATCGAGTTTATTCTTCCTGATCTATTATTATTATATATTTATATACTTTGATGTGAGCTGATTTGCCTTTCATTTGAAATTTTTTTTTTTCATCTTGGTGATTTCTGATTGGTTTTTTTAGAGGACATGCCCGGACTAAAATCGCAGCCCGTGAAAATTGTTGTTCAACGTCGGAACACTGACTTTTGAAGGCTTGTGGAAAATCTATTCTGAAAAAAATTGCATGAAATTTGCCGATCAACTTCCCGCATCTTGTGACGTTCTGTGATATTTATAAATTTACAAACGATTTCCGGAGTGCTGGTTGCCTTTTTGTTTTGGCATGTCCTTTAAATGAGTAATATATACTGAAGGTCAAATTTTTTCTTTCTTTTCGGGACCGAGTTTTCGCCAGGAATTAAAACTGGAGCATCCGCAGGAAAGGCCGTCGGCTTCTCCGGCGACGCACTATTCCAGGCCTGTTTTGGCACAAAAAATATATGCAACGTGGGGAGTAGCAATTTCCAAACACTGAGCAATCGTACTGATTTTTCTATTCAGATGACTATACTTTTATAGTAAAATGCACACACATGCAAACATTTTGCCTTGGAATTTTTATACTTTTGGATCAATAAGAGTAGAGGAGACCAAAGAATCAAAATGCTGAAATCGCTTAAGCGCCAGTTTCCTTCCGCTTTCGCACCTTGTGGAGATTCCGAAGTAAAAAAATCAACATATCTCAGGGCAAAGCCTGTTAAGCTAGAAAGTAAAACTAATCGATCCTTGCCCAACATTTGGGCTGCCTTTCCCCACCTCTCTAAAATCATCTGAGAATCTTCACCGCTGCAAAAAAAACCCTAGTGCTCTCATTTTTTGCCATAATAGTAAAACTTAAGACGAGTATTTTGGTTTTGCCTCAAAATCCTCTCTAACTAGTTGTCGAATTTCACTTTTTTTTTAATTAATTATTTTTGTGCCAAAACTTTTGTAGACGAAAAAAGGAAACATTTTTTTGGGGGAAATGTTAATGTAAGGGATAGAGAGCGCAAAATGCGTGGAGCTAATTAATTAATCAATGATGACGCGTAAATAGATCTAAAGATCGCAACCTCTGTGGCTAACAACTGCATGGGTGGCGGCGAACACCAGCTTCATTCTGGGCCGAGCGGCCGCCTCGACCGCCAGACGCAATTCAGCCGTTTACTCTTTGGAGTAAATGTTCTTTCGGTGTCTGCAAAATGCGTGTCTCGGCGTGTTTTTTTTATAATTTTCGAGGCAGCCGCCGGTCCACCTACAGGCTGGTCAATTGTATTGAGGTAATTAATTAATTAGTGCATGCTAAGAGTAACGAGTCTTAAGTCAGCAAGTAAGGAATTGCATGTTGTAATTTGTGATTAAGCGCAGCTTTATATAATCATCCGTATGGGTACTTGTAATAATCAAAAGTCTATTAATTATATACATACAAATTTGTATTCAAACACACACTACACACAAACACGCTCTTGACGAGTCGAAGAAAAATTTATCACGTATTTTTATCTATAATGTTTTGATTTAATAATTTGAGTTTTATTAATTTTGCGAGAGGATAGCGGTGTATAGTCTGTTGATGATTTTTTTTTCTCTTTTAGAGCAGATGCCGAGTGGAGATAAAAATATTTGAAGTGCGAGTTATTTATTTAAAATGCATACAACATGATAGGTATAGCGAGTCAGTGGAACAGAATGATTGTTTACACATAAACACGTAATGATTACAATTTATTATCCTATATTTACAGAGATACATTTTTTTGATTAATATTATTGTAATTTCGAATTATGATAATATTAACTTTTAATTTTTATACACAAGTGAGAACATATGTTGATGAAATGTTGTGTAGCAAGGAGTTTTTTGTATTAAGATTTTGAAAATAAAGAGTTCTATCACGAAAGTGCAAAAATTAGCCCTCAATTGGTTTCATTGACACACATATTTTATCCAAATTCTATCAAACAAAAACAAAAGTGGAGATGGATTTTATTTTTTAACAGTCTTAACTATCAATTCATAATAAATACCCGCCTCAATTAATCGTCCTAATAACATGATGGACTTAATCAGCAGGGGCGAAAATTTTCTGCTTTTCAACTTTCACTTGGTGCAGCTCTTTCTGGGCCAAAGTCACCTGGCAAAGTATTTAAATTTGATTAATTGCTTTAACAATTAACTTAATATAATTAAGGATCGATAAAAAAAGTAAGTTGCTCAAATTGACTGATCCAACTTGAGACTGAACCGGGAAATTCTAGCACAATTACCTTGACAATTTGCACCGAGACGTGTTGGAACTCGTGGACGAACGAGGCGACAAAGGCCGAAAGCAGCAAAAGGACCGAGGCCTCGGCGAGCAGACACACAACGCGCAGAACTTGAATCGACTCCTCGCCGAGGCTCTTTCGACCCAGGTGGACCTCGTTGGTCACCACGATGGACACGATCAACCACACCGTCAACACAAACAGGCAGCACCAACGCAGGAAATTCCGAAAACGGGCCACTTTACGGGCTGTCGAATCACCCATAGTGTACGACAGTCCAACCTGGTGAAGGGAATTTATGATTTTAACGATTTTATGAAAATCTAGCCTAAAAATATACATAAGTAAAATAAATTTCACTCAAATTTTTTTACCATTTAATATTAAATTGAAAAAATTCAAGCCCATGTTGTGATTGCAATAAGTTGAGATTTTCATGGTGTAAGAGATTCGTTTTTGTTAATCCCTAATTATAAAAAGACAAGAATAGATTTTACTAATAAATGAGCTCTAATAATTTTTCCTAGTTTTTATTTCCAAGCCTTTAAAAATAATTAAAATAAACTTAAAAATATTTAATAAATCTCGAAAAAAAACTATTTTATTGAAAATATTACCTGCGCCGTGAGATATAAAGTAAATCCGATTGCGCCGCAAACGACGAGAGCGTCGTGCACGACTGGCCCTTCAAGGGCTCCGTGAGCAACAAATATGGAGCAGATCAGTCCTAGAACTGCCGTCCACGTTGAGAAGCAACTGACGGACATCGGATCAAACGTCATCCATCCCTGCAGTCGCAAATCGGGCCGTTTTCTGAACACCTCCCGCACATACGACTCTCGAGTTTTGACGACCAATATCACTGACAAAAATAATCGTTTTATCTTATATTGGCTGTAAAATTTAAATATGATTCCTACTTAAAATTGTTGATGAGGTTAGAAGAAGAGTCGAAAGAAAGGTAGATGGCGAAATCAGAACTTGCTGAGAAAATGACGTTGGAATGTGGTTTTCCCAGTAGCTGTCAATAATTGATTTAGTTTTTCCTCACTTCATACAATAGAATTTGTATTTCTGTACAGTTTTACACAATGACGAGCTTAATAAAATTTCTATTCTCACATCAATAAAGAAGATTTTTTATAATAAAACTTCTCAAAGCTCTAAAATTTTGCTTTTTTTTAAATATGATATATGTTAGTTTTCTATCATTTTTTTTTTTTTTAATTTGAATTAATTTTGCATATTACCTGAGCAAGCAGGAAATAGGAAAGACACTAGCCGTGAGCACCGTTACTTTTGCAGCTCCAAATAAATCCATCTTAACAGTTGCCATTGATAGAGTGAGGAGAAAAATTTCGCCCTTTGGAGAAAACAGATGTGGTTTGCGCTTCGACTGCTGTGAACACCTTCCGAAGTAAACAGCCGCTCTTTTGCTCTTTTGTTATCAGTGCGGTGTGTAACATGCTTTTATTATTTTACAGCACCCAAGAGCAATAATAAATGACTTCTCTTAATAAGGACCGGCAGCTGCGAATATCATGCAAGAACCAAATGATGCCCAAATACTGCTCCGCTCTTATCATCTACAAATAGCATGAATAAAAATACAACAGCACAGTATTCGATTTTAATTTAAAGAAGTTTTTTTCTATATATAGATAATAATATATAGATATAATGATTTTCTCAGTCAGATTAAAATTAATCAGTAAATTTAGGATTAATTGTGAAAGAAAATTAACCGAAAAGACGTCAACTATTGTATAAAACCAGAGCGCATAGTGCAGCTTCGCAGGTTGCGTAAGAGCAGATTTTGCAGGCGCTTCAATGCTATTATGTGCAAAAGCCGCCATATTCATTGGACTTATTCTTTATTTATAGACTTTTAGGAAAAGTTTCCCATTCAATGTATTTTAATTATTTATTCGACTAGGTTGTAAAGAAAGCCCACAAAAATATTGATTTATTTTGTACATAATCCGATTTGTTACAAAATTTTAATTATTATTAAATAATATACTATTATTAATGTTGCAAAATAAAACAAATAATTGAGTTAATTTTCTAAGATAAATGGATTAAAATCGCTCACACTTGAAATATCGGATATTTTTTACCCAATATCTTTATGCGTCTTTACGTATAAAAATAAAAACTAGAAATTTTTTTCCTCAATTTTTTTTTATAAATTTTAAAATAATATCTATTACTATTTTTGTTTTTAATTATTAAAAAGTCTATTTTTAATTTGTCAAATCTTTTTTTTTTTAATTATTTTTCAATAATTAAATTTTATGATTTTTGCAGCACTGGTGCATATTTGGCACAGAAATGGTTCAGAACTGGTGTAGAACTGATGCAGAACAGCTGCACCAGTTCTGCACTAATTCCGCACTTGTTTTGAACCAGGTCTGCAAAAGTCCTGAATTTGAAAAATTTTGATACAAACTAAATTTTTTAAATCGTAAGAAAAACTAAAAGTTCATATAAAATAAAATTTTTAACCTCCATATTTTAAAAAATTTTAAATTCATTTCTATTCTTATATTTTCCAAATTTTTTAATTTTATTTTTAATTTGTGGAATCTCTTTTTTTTTTTAAATATTTTTAAATATTTAAATTATATCATTTTTGCAGCTCTGGTGCAGATCTGGTACAGAAATGGTTCAAAACTTATTTCATTAAGATTTATCATAATTTTATTAATTCTGAATTATAATTTGTCTCTGTAGACTTAAATTTACAATGATAATTTAATTTTCAAAATTAAAAACCTTCTAAAATGGTTTACTCTTTATCTTTACTTTATAAAACATAATTAAATTTTTTCATTAACTATTTTGACATAATTTAGAGAATTTTATGTTTGTCGAATTTAAAATTTTTGTCGGTTTTTTATCGGTCATATAATGCTGTCTAGTACATTTAAATCGTTTTTACTTTGTATTTAAAATATAATTCAAACGCTTCACGTCAATTTTGTTCAACTTTATTCATGAGATGCAGTTTCCAATTTATCAACAGTCTTATTATCCTCCTCAGGTAAAGCTTCCTCATTAGTGTTGCCATTTGATTCTGCGTCTGATGAACCATCATATTCATGTGCTCCCTACGAAAAATTATTTTGTAAACAAACGATACAAATGTTATACAAAATAGATTAACTAACATCTCTCGATCTTCTCCATTTTGCCCTTCTGTTTTGGAACCACGTTTTGATCTGGAAATAATAGAGATACATGATCAACAATATTTTATTTTTACACTCCACTTTTTTAATAATTTATACACAATTACAATTATTTAATATTCAAATTAGGTTTTATTTTAAATTTGAGGTTTGTTTGTATAAAATTTTTGATTGATCTCTATTTTGTTTGAAGTAAATAAATAAATAAGTTTTTTTTACTGTTTTAGAAACAATTTTTCTACCTGTCTTTCAGTCAACGAGAGTGTCTCGGCCAATTGACGCCTTTGTTCTGGACTCAAATATTGCTGCTCTTTGAATTTCCTTTCCAGCAGGGCACTTTGTTGGGATGAAAAACGAACCTGGCCGCCTTTCCTTTTATTGGGTCGAAGGTGAAACCATTGGGGTTGCAAAAATCCTGGTGATCACACAAGGACATTAAAAAAGTGATTAGAACGTGTTTTTGGTACATCAAACATTTAATCGCTCGACAGCTCGGAAATTAATTACTGAAGCAATAACATGACAGTACGAGTTAAGATAAGGGTACTTTAATTACAGTTAATTTGCGAGCGTAGTTTGAGTGATGCGCATAGTTTTGTTAAGTGCTGCTGCGTTCTTTGAAACGCTTTTTTAAAGATATATTTTTTATATACGTCTCGATTGCTGGTGAACAAACGTCGAATATTATATAGGAGCGCGGGAGATTAATAAGACGATATTGGCAGCTGATAAAAGAAGTAATCGAGTGTTTAACAAGTCAGTCAACAGGCAATCTGACATGTCATTAGCTTATCAAGCACTCGAGCACCGTTCAAACATTTTCCTCGATATTCGACACTTCAGAAATTTTGCACAAAGAAGCACAAAAAGATGATTTTTGCCCTCAATTTTATCACTCGACGTGATTTTTATTTTTGACAAAATTTGGTAGACATTAAATTGGGTTATAAGTTATAATTATTTCTATAAAATTTGTTAATTGCACAACTAAACTTATTTTTATAAATATGCATGATTCGCTTGAAATTTTAATTGCTTTTTTATCGCAGCGGCTCTATGAAGTACTCAAAATTAGACAAGAAAATATGATTGAAAAGTGAGGTGATCAAAAAAATGATTAATGTTTGAGATTAAAAATCGTGTTTGCGCGGTTGACGAGTTTGTAATGCTACAAATTTGTTGGGATTAACATGAGTGGGATGATTGATTACCAATATTGTCGCGCTGAGGTGCATATTTCAAAAGTTATTATGACAGAGATACACGAGATTATAGGGACCCTTGAATTTGATTGACTTTCCCTATCTGCGCCGGTCGGCCGGCTTATCGACCTCTTAAATGGCACTTTTCAAACGTATATTAAGTTAATGCGCTAATCCTAATTGCGATCAACGCATTTAAATTAGGAGCAAAGTGCCTCTGACAGAATGAGACGTGTTTGCCTCAATTTACTTATCAGCTTTATCCTTGGTTTAAATTTTGCATGAGCAACGTATTGTGGGGGCTGTTGCAAAATTTAGAGAAATCAAAGATTGAGTGCTTTAATATAGATTGAACTAAGCTAACGTCTAATCTTTTTTTTGCAAATATCAAAATATGAAAAGTACCAAAGAAATGAATAAAAAAATATTATTCTTTTAAATATATGAACAAAAGGAGTGAAGGTGATTATTATATATTTTCTATTTATTGTTGTTTATTCTACTCAAGTCATGCATGAAAGAATTTTCTCTTCAGATGGTTTGTTTGTTTGAGACAATTCTGATGGATTAGTTAAATTTAATATGTACTTAAATGTGCGATTTCATTAGGAAATTATTATTTATTTTAAATAATTTATTTTTAAATTTAACAAAAATGATTACTTCTGGAAAGATGAGCTGCTTTCAATAAAAATGGGATTTTGCGATAATGGTAAGTGTTCATTATAAAATAGTAAATTTGAGGTTTAATTTGCATGCTAGCTTAAAATTTTACATAAAAATTGACTAAAACGATGCCATATATTTTTCGCAATACCCTAGTTTAATTTGGTCTTCTGGAAATAATTAACGAACTCGAAATTTAATAAAATGAGAAGTTAATTATTATGGCTTATAGCTTATACACTTTTTCCCCTAAAATTTTTTATTGCTTATTGCTTTGTTATCCAAAATTTACTTGTTTAAAAAAAAATTGAAAAATTAAAAAAAAAAATATTATCTCAGGTAATAAATAGGCATATAATTATAATATTTCTTTCATATTTTTATAAAATTGTTACTTTAAAGCTAAAAATATTTTCATTCCTTCCCTTGCTGAACTGTAAAGTTGTGAAAAAGCGCGGTCTCTACCTAATCTCTGCTTCAATGTAATTTCAATTAATATCCAAGATCTTTTTAACTTCTGTTTTTAAGATTAACCAGATTCTTAATGAAAGCGCGCATCAGGAAAAATAAAAATTGTCAGGCTAACTAATTATTTCTCACGTGAATATTAAAAATTATAAGTTTGATTGAAGAGATGCTGAAAACATGAGTGCGGCAAATTTTATGTTCTAGAGAAGGGCCAAAGAGCTGCTTCAATTTACAAAATTTTGTTGTGAAAATTTTTATGGCTATTATGAGTTTTGGTATATTTCTTCTTAAACAACGTATTTGTAGAGAAAAAATATACTAAAATCACACAAATATGTCAAAATTAAAAAAAAAAATGATTATTTAGAATAATGATTTCAAATTAAGGTGTCATGTTAGTTTTGAACTATAATAAAAAAGGCAAAACTCCTCAAGAAATTTTAAGAAAAGTATCACATAAGTAAAAGTTAAGCTCAAACCAACGTCTAGCTTCAGTAAGAATCTTATTGATTAAAAAATAAAAAATGTACCTCTGTAGGGAGGCACATAGGTGGTGAACGGAGTTTGTTGGTTCCAGAGCCACGGCGGCGGGTAGGCGGGCAGTGGACGGAAGGGCAGAGCCGTCGGGAAGGATTGCTCTTTCTTGAGGATGTCGTCGACCAAGAACGAGGGTCGCAGAGAGTGATGGTGGAGGTGCGTCTGGTCGCTGTAGAAACTCATCGTGGACTGCAGGCGACTCTCCTCCGAGATCGCGTTAATCTCCAAACCGACAACTCAACGAGATCAATCGAGATTAAAAGCTTTTATTATATTTTGAGCAGAATATATTAAAAAAATATATATAAATAATACAATAGCACCTGTAATAATAATAAATGAGTGGCAAACAATGTATTTAGAACTACGGAAATAAGATAATGCCTCGGCAACTAATTTTATAAAGAAAGCAAATAGACGATTCTGCTAATAACGCATAAAATTCAGTCTTAAACGTGCATTTATTGAAGCCAAAAATAAAATTAATTTCAGATGACCGGATTGAGCTAGATTCAATTTCATTAGTTAAGTATCCAATGAGAAAATTGAAGCTAAGAATAAATCATTTATGCGCAATTCAATTAATGAACTAATTGTAAGTGAATAATTTATAACAAATATTCTAGTTAAAAATCGGGCGAATGTGGGCGAATGAGTTTTTCGGTTAATAAAACGCGTGAAAGAAAAATGAAATAATTGTTCTTTTGTTAAATTATCATAATATAATAATTATTATTTTATTGTGTTTTTGCATGCTGTGCAGTGCTCCTTGCATTAGAGCGCACGCTGACCAGCGCATTCCCGCGAGAAATCATGAAAAAATGAAAAGGTTTCAAAAAATGCCCGCAGAGTGCAGCACGTGCGGTCGCCGAGTAAAAATTGATTTTATTAATGGCCGTCGCTGGAGCAAAATAAAAACACACAAACTTGACTTCAAATTTGGCCTTTTTCGCCCCAAAAACTGATCTGTGGCTGGAGTCTGCAAAGTCCTAGATGGGCTACGGAAGCCGTTCTCCAAGTCCGAGGCGCCGCGAACGCGATCGCGAGCGTCGCAGCAAGCGCGGCAGATCGCGCGACCGAGGCGAGCGCCGACGCAGGTTGCAAACAAAATTTCCATTTTTTAATTTCTACTGCCTAACCCAGAGTTCATTTCGCAGGTCAAGATCTAGAGACAGGTCAAGGTCGAGGGAGAGGTCGCGTGAAAGAGACCGTTCGAGGGAACGCGAAAGGGACAGGTCGAGGGAAAGGGATCGCTCCAGGGACAGAGATCGGTCGAGGGATTTCAGCCGAAGAAGGTCACGCTCGAAATCACCATCGACGTCAAAGACTAAGGCCAAGAAACAGGGCGAACGACCAGAGGTCACTGGTAAGTCAGGAAAAACAGGTTGAGAGTTCCAACCTGATTTACAAAGCTAGATAACATTTCTAGAAAATTCTTTTTAATAAAAAAAGACCAAATATTATAAAAGTTTTTAATATTTTTGTCTCTTTACTTTTAGAAAAAGACTTGGAGGGCAAGAGCGCCGACGAAATCGAAATGATGAAGATGATGGGTTTTTGCTCGTTTGACTCGACCAAGGGCAAGCAAGTGACAGACAAAGACCCTGGGGCTGTGCATGTGATTCTGAAACGTAAATACCGCCAGTACATGAACAGAAAGGGTGGTTTCAATCGGCCACTGGACTTTGTTGCTTGAACCATCTGGATAATTTATTTAAAATTCTTTCAAACCTCCGTTCAAAGTGCTGATTTTTGCCCTCTAATCCGCTCGGGTCACAGAGTTTTACCTCAAGCAGATGCCTTCTTCTAAAATATTTGACACGCCTGAGCGAAAAGTAATTTCGTAGGAATGGATATTAATCTGTGTGTCATGATTACCTCCGTCTCATCAGGGATATCAGACGAACTGTAATACCTCTTGTATCAAAAACTTCTTGATGTGGTATTGGTTTGAATAAAGTACGATTATTAATATAAAAAGTCTATTCATGTATTTCGCGAAATAAATACATGCATTTGGCTTGAAACAATGATAATATTTGAATGCTTGGCGATCAACGTACAATTCAACGAATACGAACAACAAAATAATAATTTACTGCCACCAATTTAAAAATGTAAGGCAAGTTTTAATAACTAATATATACGATTTAATCAATTTCTTTTTTGTACAAAAGAATCGTTTGGAAATTATTTTGTGGCACTTCAATTTCCTTTGCGTCAGCTAGAAAATGCTAATATAAGTCTAAACAGAATAAAAAAATATTAAGGGGACATCTGGCTAGAAGGGTTGTGGATATTTTTGCATAACTGCGCATCAACTGTGTGCTGACAATGAGATAAAGAGTGTGTGGCTTGGTTACTTGATCCTCATCACAGGAATGCTTCTTTGTGCAGAGGGCTGGAGCAAAAAAGTTGAGACAGTCTTTCTCCTTAACTGCTGGAAGAGCAGTGCAGCTGTAATAGACACCCTACTGCTCCAAAGTAACCCTGATAAAAAAAAATTAGTTTTAAATTTCACATCAATCAATTTTGAAATTTACCTCATGCTCCAAGAACAAGGCCTTCAATGCACCTTTGGACCAGTAATCCAGAGCATAGGCCAACAACTTCATGGCGATGGGATTCACCCTTAAAAAGTTGCCAACGAACACAACCTAACAGAAAAATGAAATCACATAATTCATTAAAAAGCTCAAGGAATTCGGTACCTTTTCAATTTTTTCATTCAGAGCACACATTTTGGTGATTGATCCGATGTTGTTCGTAATGGTAACCAAGGTTGCCCTGGCCAAATCCTCCCTACTGACCATTTGCCTCTTGTCCTTAGAATTCATGTTCCCAAAACTGAGCAAATTTCGGTTATAATTTAATGCAGTCAACATTTTGAATAACAAACCTGCTAGCAACAAGGTCACCAGGTAAGTCAAAGCGATCATAGTCGCCCCCGTAAATGTCTCGGACAAGTTTGTCGACAGATGTGTTGTCACCCTTGGATGCAAGTTCGATGGCCTCTTCAAAGGAGTTGCACCCTGTCAGCAGACAGCACAGCCCCAAGAAGGTTCCACCACCCAGACTGGTTCCCGAGATGCGTTTGTAGACACCTGGTCCGTATACGGCAAGGATGCTCACTCCAGAGCCAATATTCACTAACTGTATTAACATTAAATTGTTGGAAATAATAATTATTGACTTCAAAGGTATATCTTTTTTAAATACAATAAAAATTTAAACTAAATTCTAATGAGAACCTTACCAAAAATGGATATGGTTGACTGAAGTCATAGCCGACTTTCTCGCACTTGCCATCGAGAGTCGGGTGCGCCCAGTAGTAGCACTCTGTGGGGCTGTTCATCTCAACATACTGCAGGCCGTAGAGCAACGAGTCCAGCTCGTCAAATTTGTGCAGAGATAAATTCAAAACCTGGCATAAAACTTTTAAAATTTGGAAAAGATAAAATTTTTTTAAAATTACCTTTCTAAAGTTATCTTCAAATTTGTAGGCACCACCACCAGTAGCACACACAGAGCTGACCAGGGTGGCCATCCCTTTGTCTTTGGCCAACTCGAGGAATTTGCCCATGGCACTCGTCGGGAAACGAATGAAATGCAGTGCCCCTCTCCGTCCTCGAACGACAACATCGTTCATCTAGAAATGAATTGACATAAAAGTAAAGCTTAAAGATTATAGAATGAAAAATAAAACATTAATTATGTTGATAATTTTTTGATTAGCAGTACCTGCAGGTGAGAATCTCTGTGACCGTCCTTTCCGTAGGCCGAGTTATTCGTAAGGTAGCGACGGATATTCCTCAGGGTCTCAACTTCCAGTTCTGCCTCATCAGGTGTGATGTCCTTTGGCTCAAAGTAGACGAGTTTACAAAGTGTGCCTCCAATATCCATTCCAAACCATGGCATTGCTGAAATTTTTTAAATTAGAATGTCTTGTGTGTAAAAATGATGCAGTTCTCAATACATAGTTATATTATTTAAGGGTTGAGTCTAGAGTCAGGGTAGGAAGGGAGGAGTTGAAGCAAAATTCTGAACAATATATAAAATTATTGCATAGATATAAAGAATTGCAGTAGCTGAATTAGAAGCAAGCAAAGAGTGTGTACATAAATCCCATAACCTATAATACATATTATTTTTTAGCTTTAGGAAAAAGTAGGTCAGAAAGATCTTTAATGAGCACAGCAGCCCAGTTTTGAAATAGCAGAAGCAGCACCAAAGCCCCACTCACGTGGACCCGCAGTCAAGTTAGAGGGTGTTGTTTTTTCATCGTCGAGGACCTGCTTACTTGTGGCCATGGCAAGGGAACGGCACGCGGCACACTGACACTCGTCAGAGATTATCGCCCCCGTCCATAGTTGACGTGTGGCGACGATGTACTGCGATGAGTCCAGCCTGGCTGTCTTTGACACGCTAGACCTGCAATTAAAAAAAGCACTAATTAAAAACGATTCGGTATAAAAAAATAAAAACACGAAATTGCACGTGTGCTCGAGACCTTTGGAAGAAAAGAGCACCCCAGCCGAAAAGAGAATAAAACAAGAATAAAAGTGGCTGGGGCCGCGCGAATTTTACCTCGCATGCGAAACCTTGCGATTGGTCAGATTGAAAGAGAGTTTTGGTCCTAATGGGGCATTTTTTCGGCCTGGCTAGTGCCTTTCAGCCCAAACTGGGTCACTCAGCCAAAGGGATAGTTACGCCCACTTTTGTCGCGAGCGAATCAGGTGTTTTTCGCAAATTGAAATTCCGCGCGCGCCGCTAGGTGGCTGTTGATCGAGATTGTTGATTTTTTTAGAAGAGAAGTCGTGCTTGTTTTGCCTTGAAACTCGTTGCGTCGTCGGCGAATTTCTGCAATTTCCGTGGTTTTCCGAGCTTGAGTTTGTCCAGATTTCGCAGGTGAAAACTATTAACAAATTATTTATCGATCGCAGTTCAAATTTTTTCGAGACAATCCTTTATTTAACGTGATTGCTTCGATTTTCAAGGGCACGATGGGCAGCATCGACAAAAAGTCGTCCCTGCTGCAGGAGATTCTTCCCGTGGACTGGCACAATGACGAAAGAATGGGCTTCTTGATGTCGGCTTTCAAGGATCGCAGCGTCAACCCAAAAAGCTGGGACGCCAAGTTGAAGTTTTGGCGAGTCCTCATTGAGGAATACTGTGTGCATTGCAAGCAGGTTACGTTCGACGAGGCTCATCTCAAAAAGACGTTCGAGAGAGATGGCTGTGTCCCCGCCTGCCTGACGCCTGTGATCATATCGCTCAAAAAGTACGAAATCAATAAATTTAACTGTTCAGATAAAATTGTACCATAATTTTCCATGTACAATTTTTTTTTTCAAAAATTAATTTTGATCTTATTTTTTAAAGTGACGGAAAAGTGGTCCCCGTGGAAGAAATTCAGAAACTGGGCTACCATGGACAGTCTTGGTCTTCGTGGACCACAGAGAAATTGCTGAAAACGCCTGCCAGCTTTGCAGTGAACAAATTGTGGAGTGCTCTGGGCTATGACTCAAGTGCGTCTCAGTCAACTACTGAAAAGCTAGTGTCCATCCCAGCTTTACAGGTATAAAAAGTGGGGAAGTAAATTGATTATTTCAATTTGAAGACTTTTGTTTAGTTTTGCCTTGGAATTTAAAGAGGCAAATATATCCAATAAAAATTTTTTTTGTTATATTTATGAAAATATTTTCTACTAGTTAAAGAAAGTAAGAAAGAAAAATAAATCGACCAATTGCCCTTCTTATAGTTGAAATTTAGCCGTCAATGTGCGTCAATGCTTGCCATCAAGTTAATTTTCTTTTTGGTATTTTTAATTTCACGATTTCTAGATCATTTACTAATTAGATTTAACTTTCAATAGCCAATGGGGCTCCCCCTTTTTTTAGATAAATTTTGAGATTGATGAAATATTTTTCAACAAATTTCAATCCTAATTCAGTAGTTGTCAGTCCTGGAATGTTGCATTTTTTTTTTAAATTTACAATTGCGGCATCTTTTATTTGATTTTAGTCCTACGCTGAGGAAGTTTTAGCTCAGCACTGCCCAGATCATAGTGCTCACAATGCCTCCTCGCAAGTCATGATCCTTGCAGATGTGATTCTAAAAGAGCCCAACAAGCAGTTTGCGGAACTTGCAATCATGTGGCTGTGCAGAAATAACCAGGTAAAAATTTTCTGTCCGTTCTTACACAATTATTTTGAGATCAAAAAATACTCCAACTAAATTTAATGGATCTTTCGGATCTTTTGTTAGAAAAGTTAAAATTTTGAGAGGAGAATCATAGTAAATGTGAAACATCCTCAAATATTAAACTAGAGCAGTCTAGTTTGCAAATTATTTAAAAAGCTGATGTATTTATTTTTCAAATTTCCAACAATATTGATCTGGCCAAGTTTGTTGCTGCGTAGTAAATTAATTCTTGGCTTAGTTCTTTATCATCATCATCATTAATTCAACCCTGCCTATAAAGATGAATAATAAATTGATCTAGTTTGACCTTTTGGTTAACTCCCGTCAGCTTTTGCCAATCAATTAATAATTTTTCCAACCTCTTTGTTTCAGGCGATTGTTGAAGATACCATGAGCCCTGCACTGGTCAAATTTGGGCCGAACGTCCAAATTAGCAATGTGGACAGACAAACAATCTCTCTGCAGAGACAAGAGATCGCTCTCACGCGCAAGCTGCATGAGCTGGAGGAAGAAAAAGAGCGTTGCTTGGCTGAGATCAAGGCTTATCTCGCAAAGGGCATGCGACCTGCGGTGAGTCCAAAACCCACCCATCTCTCTTTCTCGAGCTTATAATTTCTTTTATATTGCTACTGAGACTCTTTTCAGACGCTTAAATTTTATCACGGTTCAAGGCTGCAAAAAAGTGATTTTGTGGTCTGGTCGGTGAGCAAAAAAAAAAGGCGTCGAGCTGGAAAGCTGCAGCTTGTGCGTCATAAGCTCTGTAAATTTATGCAGCATCATTAGGTTTTTGCTTTCTGACATAAGCAATGACTCTCATTCCTTATGGCGTCGGATTTGTGGGAAACACAAATCACCTGCGTAGGGACTGCTGAGATGTTACTTTAATTAGGGACCGCATTCCAAGCATTTTTACAGCTTACAGACCTCAGACGAGGATTTTTCAACCAATTTATTAGTTTGTTTCTTAATATTGAAGTCGAGTGTGTACGATTATCTTTCGCAAAAGCTTGGATTAAGGAACATTTTCTTTTTAATAATTTTTTTAGCTCTTCATGTTTTACTTTAATTAATATTTTTCCAAAAGTATGACCTCTTTTCATATCATGGGATTATTTTCTTTGTTTTACTCCTGCTTTCTTTGTTGAAGCTTTTAGAAGAAATAACAAATTAATCTACAAGAGAGAGAGTACCAAGAACTTTCCAGTGAAACCTGAGAGAAATAAACACCTCATGATTTTTGTTGATTTTCTCACTATGGCGAAGGTTCTGGGCATCTGGGCAAGACAGTTCAAGGGAGAGGGGATTATGCTTTTCAATCATAATTGAATTAATATTTTGCTGAAAATATTTTTCTAAATCAAAAATTTCAAAATCGATTATCATTGCAATAAGATTTTGTCATTTCGGCTGTTGAACTTTATATTGTTGTTAATATAAAAATAACTTTGGAATGTATAGAATCAGCATCTCCAAGGTGTCCAATGACCTCGCGTAGAAAGACGCGCAGTTTCGTATCATATGTCCCTGCAACTGCAGCGTGTCTCATCACCCTCGAACACAAAAAAGTTTTTCTTTTTGTTAACGCAGCGAGGTCTCCACCGGCTAAATGCGGCGCAGCGTTTTGGCTCCTGCAGCAAATTTGTTTTGAGCCGCTCTGGCATTGAATTAAATGCGCCAATATTACGCGTTTTATAATTATAGCTGCTCAATGCGAAGGTGATTACCAAACGGCAAGACCACTCACTCTCACTGCCATTGATTAGATTGTACCCATTGAGATAAAATCTGCTGAAAATGCACTTGTGATTCAAGAAGGGATTGTGATCCCGAATACCAAGTTCAGAGGATTGTCACCTTGAAATGGTTTTGCCACATGCTAATTATTTTTGATTGCATCCTTTCTTTGATCTTGAATATTTTTGCAAAAAGTTTGTTACTTTTTGCTTCCAAGAACGTTAATAAATTTGTATTGATATAAATACTAAATAATATAATATTAATACAAATAAATAAGTAAATAAAACTACTAATTTTAAGTTTATCCCTTTGGAAAATGTATTTCTGGAGTTTCAAATATTCGAATTTAAATGTAGAAGTAATTTAGCAAAAATTAGAAAAGTTATTCATTGAAGGACATTTTTCTAATTAATGTTTTCTTAAAATTTTTTGAAATTAGCAGCATAGGTTTGATTTCTATATGAATATTATTATGATGACACAACAAAATAGCGGTTATGGGTGGAAGTGCTGCATTTTAATTGCAAATTAATTGTCATCATCCGTGAGCGGCGCCGCCTTGGGCTGGCAAGTGAAGAGCGAGAACGACGAGAAGAAAAATAGTGGCCGACATTGGCCCGATTGAGTGAGCGAGGAATGAGCGCATGCATCTCTGTCGAGTGTTTGTTTTCCTCTACGGCTCTACAAGCAGAGAAAGTTTCTTTGGCGAAAAAAAAAAACTCAAACCGGAAATGGTCACTATGCGCAATAATTAACATCAGCATGCCAAACATGCCCTTTCGATTTCGTTCTCGCTCTCTGGAAATTGCTATGTATATGTTAATATATTCGTGCGCAATATTTTCGCTCGGCGCGATCCACGGAGGTGCGACAGGTTGCATAACGAGCCGACGCGTTTTTCCCGAAACGAGGTGAAATCTTTCGCTCCGGGCGATCAGGTGTCCACACCTTGAAGTGGCCTGATCATCTCGTCAGCATCTCAACTAATTCGTCACTTCGTTACTCTTTACATTAGGTTTGTTTTTCTTTCAAATGCGAATCGCAACAGTCTTGGACTTTGCCACAAGTCTTGAAATTAAAATTTATTTAAAAAATTTAAAAATTAAATTATAAAATTTTGGAGATAAGAGTCTAGCAATTAATACTAAATAAATAGGAGCAAAATCGATCAAATATAATTTCAGCCTTTCTTATGCAATTTAAAATTGTGCCGTCAAAGAAAGTATTCGCTTACCAAGGAAACATTTTTGTCTCTTCTTTTACAGGCGAGGAACTCTCTGAAGAAGAAGCACGAGCTGGAGCGGCGCGCGACCAAGCTGTCCGACTCGTTGGCCAACCTCCACGTTATGATTTCGCAGCTGAAGGATTCCGAGTCTCACGCGCAGGTCAGTCTTCTTTGTGTCTCAGAATGAAATTCGCCGCCCTTTGCACTTTGCAGAGGCACGAGCCCAACTGTCCGATTGTCAGTCGGACCCTCCTCCGCGCTCTTGGCTTTGCCAACTCTCGATCGTTTCCCCTCCCAGCGCTGAGCGATTCTCTATTGGCTCACATGAAATGTTTTCCGCAGGTAATCGGCGCTTACAAGAACGCGTCTGCCGCACTGAAGGCTGTCTACAAAGACACAGGACTGAATGAGGACAACGTTGCTAATGCCATGGACGACGTCGAGGAGGTCAGTACCTGTATTTACTTTCTTGACCGCAAAAAACTGTTTCCTTCAACATCATCCATATAAATATATAATTATAAAACATCATATTCATTGAGCGTGACAGTGTAAAATAATAATCACCATTTGCAACTTTCAGGCATTGGAGCTCCACGACGAAGTCAAAACTGTCATTTCCAAGCCGGTTGGCCCGATGTCGTCCACTCTGGATGATGAGGAGCTGGAAAAGGAACTGGCAGAATTGCTGGAAGACCACGAAGAGGCTGGACCTCCAGGCGGAGGAACGTCCGAGTTTGACATCAACAGTACGATCAGTTATTATTTTAATTTCTACGACAAAATGCTTTTTCTTTTTCAGAACTACCGAGTGTGCCTTCGTCTCCAGTTGGTGCTAAGACTCTAAATACTCAAGCTTCACAGCTGTAATAAAAACTGTCCAATTTTTATTTGCAAATGACTGAAATAAGAAAAAAATAACATGATATAGGATTGTATATATTTTGTTGCATTGGTGGAGAATGCTGCTATTCTTTTTTATTTTCTAAGTTGAGCATATATTTAAATTTGGTCTTGAAGTGCTGTCGTAGCTTAAAAGTAACCCACTATCAGATGTCCATTAATAAATGCAAATTTCAAAAATTCTTTTACATTAAAGTCATCATTTTATGTCACTATTATTGCTAGGCAATTCAATTTAGCTACCAGACTTCTTGTAGTTGGACCTAACACGCAAAAGTCCTGCAACTTCCAAGAAAAACTAGTTTTCCATTATAATTTATTCTCAAAAATCTATGTTAAAAAGCATTGAAAAATCGATGGCAAAAGTGATTTTATTTATAATAAAAGAAGGCTGGATTCTGAATATCCCATTTTTATTGATATACAATTGCAAATACTCCTTTTAAGACTTTGACGATGAACTGCACTTATCATAATTAATTCTTTTATACACATTTTTAGAAATTGCTGACAACCAGGCTGCTGTGCTCATATATAAAACATGCTTACACTTTTTTCCATTCGATTTTGCACAACATTATGGCCGAACTAAACAGGATGCAAAATTCGAATTGATGTCTATGTAGAAAAGAAATAACAATAAAATTTCGTTCGGAAGCAAGCACTGATGCACATTCAAAGGAGGAAAGAGTGGTTTGTTGGTGTGTGTGCTGTTGAACTCGACCGTTTTAAGGGGCAAATCAACAAACTTAATCAGAAAACGATATCACTTTGTGTCCGCGATTAACGGTCAGTTAGTTCAGTAGTCATCCAGGTTGTAGAGGTCTTCGTCCATGTCATCCAACTGCATACTCATGAAGTCCACCTTGTAGCGGAGCAACCCTGCAAATGATTTTTTTATTGTCATAACTTTTTTTATGTTCAGTATAAAATCAAGTTGAACGCAAAAAGCTAATAGTTGCAGGTGGTCTAGATTAGGTGGTGCTATTTACTTAAGGCTACATTGAAGACTTCAACCTTCAGCCTTTTCATTTAAAATTGGAAGACTTAATTATGTGCATATATTATGATGAAACTACGAGAAGTGCCTTTTGTAATTGAAATTTCCCGTTCCTTCACTACAACCTTCTGCAACTATTGCTGAACATAAAGAATAACAAAATAATATTATGAATTAGGTGACAGAGCAAATATAAAAATAAAAATCATATTAAATTTAAATTAATATTAAAACCCATTCGTGCAAAATCAAATGCAACGAAGAATTAATTTTCAAAAAATTCTGTGTCACTGCAAAGTAATATGAGCTACAAAAGAAAAATAATAAGAGCCATGCTGAACGGTTGAACACTCGTGCCGAGGTGGTACCTGGCAAAGTTTAAGCAGGTTAATACTCGTCAAGATCGACATCGTCCAACGGCTCGTCAGCCTGAAGTGACTGGAAGTCAACTTTGTAGCGCAGAATTCCTGTGAGAGCCCCAGAAAATGTGTTCAATTCACAACCCAAAGCCTCCAAATATCATACGGCGTGATGTGCCGAGCGGAGTCGTAACAAGTGAAAGTGAATAAGTGAGAAACTTTACCTCCTATGCCACCAAATCCTCTGACAAACTGTGAGCCTTCTTGCGACTTGTCAGTGATGATCTCGAGGGTGGCACCAAAACTCTTGTAGCTGTTGGCCAGCCACTCAAGGAGAGGTTGGCACTCGACCAGCTCCAGCTCCACACCAGTCTAAAAATTGACAAAATTTTATCTTCTTGTTGCAGAAAATAAATTTTCATTGAAGTACTAAATCTTTAAAACAACACTCACTTCCTTATCAGTGAAATGCGATTTATCTTTCTCCTGCTCGGGGGTAAGGTGCAGAATCTTTTCTTCCGAGGACGTATGGTTTTTGAGCACGTAGCGCTGAATGTCTAAATTCTCCCAGCAAATAAGGATCTCCACACTGCCAAGTTCAAGTGCCTTGAGAGTGTCCTCAACACCAAAGCAAAACTTTCCGGTGTCTTGGCTGATTTCATCGAAGTATCGTCCTGATAATTATTCACATTAGGAATAAATATTTCAAGCAGGCCAATAAATTTACCAATAAGCTTTTTCTCTTGAATGAATTTAACATTGTGGAGGGACTCAGCTGCAAGTTCAATGGCCTGGTTGAATCCATTCTCTCCACCGTACGATACGTCCACCAGCTTGATTACTTTTGCTTGCAATCTCTGAAAGTTAATTGAGCAATCAGAGTGCTATTCTTTTCTAAATTCAGCAACCTATACCTGATCAAACATGTCTGATTGGCTAAGCTCGGTTTTGAAGTCTGCACTACCCGCTAAAATGAGGCCAGCAATGTTTGGTTTGTCACCAGGTAGATAAAGCGTTACTGCGACTTCAGCAACTTTTCTCACGTAGTTGTGTCTTTTTTCCATTCTCAAACGAGCAAAACGAAGTGCAGACTGACCTCCTCTACCTGTGGAGTCCAAAAAAGGAAATTAAAAAATTGCCAAGTAAAGTCATTTAAACCGGACCGTGCTTCTTAGGCAAATCAACAGTGAACTTGTGAAGGACTTCACGAGTGTTTCCTTGCAGAGTGCCGAAAAGGGCACCGTTGCCGTCCATAATAATAAAACCAAACTTATTATCATCAGCCAAAAGAGCAGTCAGTGCTTCCGTATGGAACTACAAGAATAATTAAGTTATTATATGGACGTGCAATTTGGTGTTTTCAGAGTACAACATACCTTGTTGTCGCACAAGTAGAGCGAGGTGTTGATTGGTTTGAAAGGTTCAAAGTCAATGTTCACCTTCTTCTCTTTTCCCTCCTCTGTCACAATGGTGCCGCAGTAAATTACAAGTCCGTTTGGCGGCACTGAAATTTGAATGGTTAGAGCTACATATTTTGGCAAGGAGTTTACACTATGCACCTTTGGTGTAGAGCTTGAGGCGATGCTGCACAGAGGTGATGGCTCCAAGCACCGACAGGCGATTGACACGCGACTTGATGTTGGACGCTGTGCCAAACTCGTCGGCCAACATTTTGCTGACTCGGGAAATCTGGTCTCTGGGCGGAATGATGAGCGAGATCATGCTGGTGCCATTGCTGCAAAGGTATTTTTGAATGAGACTCCAGTGGCAAGAGAGTGCAAAAACAAGGGTTACCCTCTGGCCATCTCGAGGCTCTTGATCAGCTTCTTGATCTTCCATATTTCGACGTTCCTGTCAGCCGAATTGTCCTCGTTGCTGTAGTTATTGGACGACATGATTGGTTTTCAGCCGTCCCGACTTTCCAAAGCCAAGTCGGCCCGAAATTCGGCTCAAATGAGTCGGCAAAGCGTGTGGCGGATCAGTCAAAATGGCGCCACGTACCCAGTCGCAGCCGTATTTTCAGCCAAATTAGCTGCTTATCGGTATCCAACTCGCCTAATCGTCAACGATCAAGTACCTCAGGTCAACATGTGCCGAAAGGCCGACTTCTATCGCCCAATGAACCACGGAATCGACAGGGAATTCGGCTGTTTTAGCAAGCAAGCACATGTGGAACATACAAAAGCGAGGTCAATGTAGCGCCCATGTGAGCATGCGCAGACAAAAAAGCACGTTCACTCCTATTCTTTCTACCGCCAAAACTTGAAAATTTAAAATAACATGGCCTAAAATTTCATGATGATAATATTATGTGATGTAGATTCACGACTCACGTTCACAGAAAACTATTTTTCTCACATTATGCAGCACATAGAAACACTCAGTCAAAAGAAAAAAAAATTAATAAAATTACGCACTTTTGTGCAAAAACTAAGAAAGATTGGCTGTAAAGATTGACTGAATGGGCCTAATCACAAAATTGCTCGCACAACAGGCACAGCACTATTGTTTATCAACAGTTTAACCTAAATATAGGTATAGGAAATTTCAGAGAAAGAGAATAACTATTTCCAAATTAACTGGTTTTATTGAAATCTGTGGAGCCCTATTCAGGCCCTGATACAGAGTGAATTAATCCAGCTGGGAATGAATAAATTGTTGTAAGGAGTGCCCCGGGGGGCACAGGTGGCAACCCCTTTTATTCAAGCAGTCAAAATCAGTCTCACAGCATGGGTCACAAGAAAATGCATCCGTACGTTCACTGCAACATTCTCTCACACACCTGGCGCGCGCGCAGTCGATTCTTCTAATCTCATCAGTCATTTTATGTCTCACACTTTGGGAAAAACTCGGGTCTCAGAACACTCAAATTATGTATGCAGGCACTCTCTTATAGCACCCCCTACACGCTTCCTCCAGGGCCATCAGATAATCTGCAATCACACACAGACAGCGCTCGTGCACCTTCTCACTTTTGCTTTCTTTTAAGCACCAGGGACTTGAGTTTACTTCTTCATTCTGACAAAATGGAAGAAATTATTACTTAAAATCTGAAAAATGTAGTTTATTGTTTAAAAAATGTTTCTCTCTTGATGATACGAAAAGTATCTAAAAATGCTGTTTAGGGTGTCAGTCCTGCACTTGACAAATAGTTTGTGCTTTAAGCCCATTATTTGAATTATTATTAAATCACAGAATCTATTTGAGAATAGTGGCCAGTTTAATAGACAATTTAAAATTGATCTTTGAAAAGTGTATAATAGCCTTTAAAAATCCACTGGCCACTAAAAAGGGGAAATCTTTCTTAAAGACTCACTCCAACAAACAAACTTGACAATCACAGTCTCGTTCTCAATCATGAGCAGAAAACATATAAGAAAAAACAATGTTTATGAAGAAATCAACAACACAGAAGATATGAATTTGTTTGAAAAAGTACTGGTTAACAGAAAAGGCACTTATGCAACAGATACTCTCAAATGTATGATAAAATTTACAGTTTACTCGTCATTTATAAGAGATCGATCCGTCAATCAGTAGAAATGGCACGTGGCATCACAGACTAGACTTTGTGGTTGCATTTTTCATTTCATACACTTTGCACGCCTCCACTCGTTACTTACCAACTAGTGGCGTGGTTGCGCAGCTTGCGCACCTCTCGTGTGGCCCAGTTGGCAATATTCTTAGTTTTTGCAATACGAGAGCGACGACCCTCAGTAAGCATATCGGAAACGGGGTCCGCATCAACCAGAGGCAGCACCTTAGCCCCATATGTTAGGCAAAGGTCCCTAAAATAAGGTGTAACAAATATTTGATACAAGAGTTTAGATATAATTTGTTCTTAAATTTGAAAACGCATATAAGATTATAAAAAAAATCAATCAGAGGATTAAAATGTCACAGAACTGATGGATATCTTAAAATTTTGAATTAATTTACCCAACAAGACCAGCACTGTTGTGGATGATTGTATCTGTGTGGTCTGGGTCTTGGCAGGCAGTCGACACAAAGTGGATGATTGAGGGCAGATGTGGTTCGAGCGACAGCAAGCACGCTTTGTTTGATTCGCTACTATCTTCATCCTTCAATCCTTGAATTATGCCGGCATATGCCTCAAGGATGCCTTCTCTGAGTTCAGTTAAATAGTCGAGCATATCATAATCAGTCTGAAATTGACAGAGATTAGTTATGTAAAATTTTGCAGATAACTATCGGTCTTACTCGATCAACGTCAACTTGGGATGCTTGGGCCAAGGTCTGCAATACAACATTCAGATACTTTGTGAATTCCGAACCAATAGAGAGAGCAATGTCTCCAAAGACGGAGAGGATCTGAGGCTTCACTGAGCGATGGACAGTGTTGTCCTGCATACAAAGTATTTTAGATTTGTGGAATTACATACTTAAGTTAAACCTACACCCAGATTCTCCAAGAGAAGCATCATTATCTCGTCACAGTATGGCAAAAGTCTGGAACGCAGGGCACGAGCTATGTCCCCAGTAAGACCAACAGCAGCACCACACACCTGGTACTCAGCACGGTTTTTGAGACCAAGGTGCAAGAAAGGTTTAAAGGCCTCCATGTACTTCAAGAACCCTTCACCCAGAATTTCGACCAATGTAGAAACAGCCATCAGGGCATCTTCCTGGACACCGCCCGCTTTGCACGAGTTTGAATTGAACATTTGCAACAATGCTGTCATTATGGTATCTGAAATCTTTGGGGCGTCCTCAGGATTGACCTTTCGAAGGACGCTCTGCAGGGTTCCACAAAGCAACGACTGAAGGTCGTTATACTGGGCGCGATCAGAGTGGGACTGTATGTGCGACTCCATTTGCAGGACATGCTGCAGTCTCTCAAGGATGACCATGGTTGTCTTTTGGACGGCTACATAGCAGTCACGAGGAGAATTCTTAACCAGCTCCATCAAGGCTTCATAAGCACTGCTTCTTAAATTGGCCTATATTTATAAATTTGTTAGTTTTGATTTGAATAAGTCAATTTCATTTTATCCATATACCTGGGCTCCATCAGGTCTGTCAGTGGTCTCAAGAAGTCTTTGCACAATGAACTCAAAATACTGAGAAAGACAGTAAGTCTCTGGTTGAGCAGAGTCATCATCTTTTCCAGCATTTGCTGCGCTTTCTGCTGCTTCATAAGCCGCTTCTGCCAAGCCAGTGAAGGCCCAGCAGACGTTGTTAGCAACTCTTGGCTCTGCTTTAAGTCCATTAACCAGGGCTTCAAGCAAAGCGTTTAAGAACTGCTCGTTGATGGCAGCATCGGGGACTATTTCGCAAATACGCCCAAACGTCCAGGCGCATGTGTCTCTGACTTGGACACTCTGATCGTACATCAACTCAATAAGTGTTGGCATGGCCTGGTCCACAAGAGGTTTCAGCGTTGTTGGTTCAAGACCACCCAAAATTGAACCTAATGAAAAAATTAGAGAATAATTTGGTAATTAGATCAATTTTACATACCGAATGCCATAAGCGCAGCATCTCTGCACCTCCAGTTTGGCGACTTGATATTGTCTTTCACAAACGGCAGGACATGGGGCACAATGTCATCCTCACAGCAAGTTGCCAACAGCATGAGGCACACACCAGCTGCCTTGCTAGGGTTCCAATCATCTTCATCATCATTTTCTTCCTGTTTTGTCAACTTTTGTTGCAGCACAGGAACCAAATACTGAAGTGCGCCTTTAGCATAGAAGCGAGAGCATCGTGATGGTACGCGGCCCGCTTCTGTTGCTTCCGTAGCCTCAATGCTCAAATCCATCTCCTCATCACTTACGTTGGACCAGAATTCAATACCCTGCAGAGCCACTTCATCAATTTCTGACTTCATTGCTTCTAAAGTAATCTGAGAAGAAAAAACAATTGTTAAGTTATGGATATCAACACTTGGAAGAATTAGTTGCTTACAGGAAATAGAGCTTGTCCCATATAAGGCTCCATGTATTGATAATAAAGAGACATTATTTTGACCAAACATTGCAGGGCAGCGACTTTGACAGACGTGTCTGTGCTTTGGGTTGCTTCGCACACGACCTCCATTATGAAATTTCTTTCAGACTGCGAAATAGAGAGCTTATAAAATCATATTAATTAAAGCCCATCACTAATATTACTTCAGTTTCAAAATTTGCTCTGGTAAATTCCAGTGAATTAAGAAGTGCAGTTGTGGCTGCCAATCTGACGTGGTTACTTGGTTCATTCTGCCTCATGCCATGAATGATGGCGGTCAAAATTTGGTTGGCCTGCAGCTGCAAAACTTCTTGATCTTGCTGCGATTTGATAGAAAATATAAATAAATACTCTAGATTGAAAAAATTGGATAGTATACTATTTCTTGACATATGTATCCGATGGCCTCCAGTGTGGCCTCCTTCGTCATCTCGGTGCTGGATGCATTGACAACATTTGAAGCTAGGCATTCTATCAGTTCAGGCCACTGCTTTACTGGCAACTCAGCTACCGCCACATAAGCCACACACTGGGCTGCAGAACTCGGCCTGTTGTTCTCTGTTCCCAAAGCACCCAAGATCTGGAAATTGCGAAAGGTGAATTTTTTGCTTATGGCTTATAGTGGAATTTTCTCACATTCTTTTTAATGTAGCTCCTTGTTTGTTCCGGCAGTGCCAGCCATCTGTGCTGATATTGTAGGGCAATGTTAGGGTCTTTCGAAGTGAGGCTATTCTTGAGTTGCAGACCCGCTGCCATTCGAACAACAGCCGAATTGCCTCCATGACCCAGGATTTCCGACAAGCCTTTACAGAATTCGGGCTAACGTAAAAAAAATTAATGTTTAATTTGGTTTTAGAGAAAAATATTTTCATGCTCACAAAGTTTGAAAGTGCTGCCTGTTCCAGGTAGGTCTGCGCAGCTTCCAGTTCATTTTTGTCTGCAAAATAAATTCAATGATTCACACGATTCAGACTCACAGCCACATCAGAGTTAATTAAAGGCAACTGGCAATTTAGCGTCACGGGGTTAAAATTAGGTCACACGACAAAACAAGGAAAGGCGAAACAATTCAAAATCCCAACAACGACCGTAAAATTTTCAAATTAACTGACCGAACTAATTTAATTCCATAAAATTTAATGTTCCAGAAAGGAAATTCAAAGAATAAAAGCTGATAGAATAGCGTGCAAAGATGTTTGACGCAGATTATTTTTGTGCGGTGCGGAAGCCATGTTGTGCCATTGATGCATTGATTCGTGGGCGACCTTGCTCGGACTTGCGACGAGGTGCACCGCAAGAATACTTTGCACACATTTTACGCTGCAGAGACGCTTGCATTCAGCATAGATGTTTTAATTACACTCCACAGATATTAAATAAAGACGATTAAACTAAATTCGCAAAAGAGAAGTAAACGTGCGCACCAAATTGCGGGTGGAAAAAAAATCGATGGCCACAACGTTTGACAACGGTTTTTTGATGCGGCGAATTCGCCTTAATTTTAGGTTAATCGCGGCTTACCTGGTGAAATTGTCTTTTCTAATATGTTGATCAACTGCAATGAAGTTTCTGTCGGCATGGTGAGGTGATTCATTCAATAAAACTAAGGAAAAAGCGCGAATTTTACACTCGCTGCAACAGCCGGTTGTGGCGCGAGCAGGCGGGCCTCGCCGGAAAAGGAAGTTAAGTTCAGTATAATGTATACATCCGCGACAACATGCGATTTTGTTACACAATTTTACTTTTGAGTAAAATGTCACACTATTAATCAAATAATCACCTTAAATTTAAAATAATAAAATGCATCAAATAAAAGTTTAATGTGACAAAATTATAAGGGATACAATTTGAGAACTATTTTCTTACGCGCCTGGCACTTTGGCAACGTTTTTCGTCTGCATTATCCATGCAATCAAATTCAAAATTTGCACGAATACCATATGGGAGGCTCAAATAATCTTTTTTTTAACAAACAAAACAATGGAGAGCCAGTGCTTGCTTACGTTCTCCAATATCGATCTAATATCTTTCCAAAAATCAAAATAAATAAATTATAATCATTGTTTCTATTATGAGTGAAATTGAAATAATCCATTATTCAATTCAATTCAATTGATATAATTAAACATATTATTTATTTGTCAAAATAGTTGAAGTTAAAATAAAATTTCCTTTCATAATTAATTTTTTTTTAATTTCTCGCTCTTACAGACAAGTTTTGAAATGTACACATAGTCACATAGCTAAAGTTGCTATTTATTGGGAAAAAATACATTATATCTTATTTTTTCAATTTCTCTTAAAAATAATTGCTCGTCGGAAGTATTCATTAGTATTTTAGGTTTAATGAAATTGAATAACATTTTGTTATTTTAAATTAAATTGTCCAATCCCAAGGAATACAAACTTCACCATCAGCAAGCACAGAGTAGTAATGTGTTACTCTCAATTCAGAGCCTTTTAAATTTTCTCCGATTTTAGGTATGGCATCTAAAAGTCGTTCACAGCATTTTATCATTCGTTCTGGTGTAACAGCGTCGTCTTTCCTTAAAGCACCTAGACCCAGGTGAACCGTAACTTGTTTGCTTAGGATTTTCTCTAAAGCTTTATCGCTGAAACAAAAATTTTAATAAAGGATATGCACAGATAAAATATAATTTTAAGTATACCTTTGATATTTTTCAAGAACTTTTTGTGCCTTCTCTAAGTGGGATGAAAGAAAATTAATTAATAATGAAGCAGGACAGGACGATGGAACAATAAATTGCCCAGTCGGTGACAGCATTAAAGGTCCAGCAGCACTGATAACATATTTATTAGAGTCAACTTTAAATGAATAAAATATAGCACAGATAATATTTACGTTTCTACAACCAATCGATACTGCTCCAAAGTTGAAGGCCATTCAGCAGGGTAATTTCTGAACCCTTTGTAATCATTTAGATTTGTTGCTAATCTTCTAAGTTGTCCTTCGTAGTTGGAAACTAGAACTTTCTGCTGGAATTTTCGTCGAACTACCTTAATTTCTTTTAAGAGACCAGAAACAGCTCCTTCCAAACTTGGAATTCTCTTCAAAGCTGCATCAGCCTTAGGAATCTGCTTGACCAACTGTAACAAAAATAAAATGCTCCCTAAATTTAAATTATAATAATATTAGTTGACAATTAATGTGGGTAGATTTTTTCACAAGAAAAGGCTTCGATGACTGGTCGGCTAACTATTTCAAGCATCACATAGATAGAAGACAAATATTTGGAATGTCTGAAATGTTCAAGTCTAATTAGACAATTCAATATTTTTTTACTAAAATAAATGCTTATTTTGAACCCAGACAAATCCGAGGGAGATGCTGACCGCATCTGATTGTGAGAACAAAAACATGAAGCTGAAGGGTACAACCATCTTACATCCAAGGGGCGCCAGGCGCCATCCTTGGTCCTGGGGCCACCACTTCAAATCCCAGGGCCACCACCTTAAAGCTGAGGGGTACGATCATACATTCGAGGGATGCCACCTAAAAGCCAAGGGGCGCCTGCTTGTAGCCACAAGCCAGTAATGGATACCTGCTTGAAAGCCCATGGACTCAAGAAAAATACCACGGAGCGGCAGTTTGTTGGTAGAAAAATTTTTACCTAATCAAAATTTAAACAATATTTTTTACCTCAAGCCAATTGTGTCGAGGTTCCGCACTGTTAATCATAACAAGTCCATCTAAACTGACACCGGTTTCGTTTCCAAATACCAGTCTTCTCCCTAAATAACATTATTATTTTTTTTTTTCATAATTCCCAAAAAAATTAAAGCTGGGAAACCTTTTAAAGCTTCGAACAAATCTGGGTGGTCAGAAGTCAAGGTGTGGAGGCTCTGAAGGCAACCAATGAAGTGGGCATTGCTCCATCCACAATCCCATTTAACCTCTTTCAATTGAAGAGATTTTGCAAGTGCTTGACTACGACGAAGTGCCTCCTCTCGCACTGGCGCTGCAGCCTCCTGTCGCACTTTTGCATCGTCTTTGTTTCTTTGGAGCCACGATCTAAAAAAAATTAATTTTGAAAAGTTGAAAATCTTCCAAATTATAACCTATCATTAAAATTATAAAATTATTTTACGTTAGTGTGAATGTTGCCCTCTCTTGCCGAATTTCTTCTCTGAACTGAAAGTCGGCACTAGCGTTTCTATTTTTTGTATAATCCCTTTCAAATGGATATTCTCTCTCAAAAGGATTATCAGCCTTTGGTTTTTCCAAGTTCTTAATTTTGTCAGCTGCTGAAGTTGGCAGTGAACACGAGCTTAAGACGCTTGTCACGACTTGACGGAGATCTCGAGATTTTAATTTTAGCCTAACCTCTTTGAGAGGTAAAGTTGCTGTAAAAATTTAAATGATTTAATTATTGCTATATTATGTTTAAAAAGCAAAAATACTTTGACTGCTCCTATCTCCTCTGAGGTAGAACCTCAACTCGGTTGGGATGGGTGTCCGGCTTTGAAGTACGGTCTCAATGTAGGAACTAAGCTGTTGCAATGCAGCTTCATTCACCGCCTTGAAAATGAGATAGTTTAATAATAAATTATGAGCAATAGTTGGTTTACCCTCTCTTTAGGATGCTGGCCAAATAAATCTGGGTGAACAGCAAAATAAAAAGGTCTTAGAGCGGTGGAAACTTCGGATGAAGTGCTTGCTTGTCTTGCGGTAATGCGGCTCCAACCGACACATCCTCTGAAAAAATAATTTATCGTTAGCTCGCGTTGCAATGAGTGACATTATTATTTAGTGAAATTGTATAAGAAAGCTTCGACTCGGGATTGCTGTGGACAACAAAAAATGTCATACGTACGTTTGCAAGATATGTATTTTTTTAAATGTTGTTTGGAGGCACAACGCAGTTTTGAGTGTGGCCATGATTTTTGCTTGTGCTTTTTATTTACGTTCAAGAGCTGCTCATGCGCTTTTAGGCACAACGCAGGGCAGACAAAATAGCCAATCCCCACCACAGGCACCTATGGTCTTGTTTGAAGTTGTACATACATAATTATCTTTATTTCAAAAGGGAAATAAATTTATTTGGTGCAGTTATCATAGAGCTGTACTGATTAATTTACTTTTATTGAAAATGAATAATTACTTGAACAAGTTATTAAGCTAAAATTTTACCAAAAGGGAAAAAATCACATATTTTCATTTTTTCATTAATCTGGTTTTATGACAGAGGCGATAGATGAATGATTTATTTTGTTTAATATGTTTTTAATTCTTTTAAAAGCAATGAATCTCATGTAGGTTTTCATAAAAAAGCACATCAGCAACAAATTAGCAATAACAAATTACCAATCAATATTTTAATATTTTTTATCCGATCAACTTCAATGTCAGTGTCTCGCACAAAGTTCCACACCACATTCACTTTCAGACGTTTGAGCTGAGAGCCCAACCACACAATGACTTTGTTGAAAATTTGAAAACTTGGTAGTACAAATGAGTAGCTGAGTCCATGAGACGAATCATGAGAAGTAAAAAAAAAATGGTACACGACTAAGCAACTTTTACTCTCTCAATATAACTTCTGCTTGATATTTTTGTGACGCTCACTACGTCACTCGATAAATGCTCTTGAGACGAGGAAATATTGGATTATCACTAACACAAACAAGAGGGGTCGGCAGGCTCCGGCCCTGGAGGTGTGATCTTGAAGCTGTCTGTGTCCATTGCTTGCAGCTCGAGCCGTGATCGATTGGCTTGGACAAGGTGCTGCGCGATGTCCGAAAACATTTCTTCGACCCCTTGGCCCGTTTTGCAAGAGGTCCGGTACGTGGCGGACACTAAATTGTGGCACTGCTCACTGAAATTAAATAAAAGTAGAAAATTTAAAATTTAAAAGCATTGCAAAAATTTATCTCTAAAAAAAAAATGAAAGAGATTATGGTGGTGCAAATGCAAAAGCAAACTAAAGCAACTGATTTTAGAAGAAAAAATGTGTCAAACTTCAATTTAGTTAATTGAATTATGTGTTTAGAATTATCTTTATACATGACTTGACTAAATTGAATACATATTTTAAAAACCCAGCACTGAGGTCAACGAATTTGAAACTATTTGCACGAGTTCTGGTGGTCCTAGCCAAAATTACCAAAAGGTCTCCATGTCTTGCTCGGTGACCTGGGTTCCTAGATCTGATTTGTTGCCACAGAGAAAGATCTTGGCATTTTCCGCATAGGTGACAATGTCCAGCAGATGTTGAGATAGCACGTGGAATGAGGCAGGGTTGTCCAAGCTGAAGACGAGGATGGCTGCTTCGGCGAACTTGTAGTAGCTGGACGTGATGGAGGCGACACGTTCCATGCCACCAGTGTCCCACAATTGGAGCTGTAAAAAATAATTCGAGTAAGTCAGAGGTCAGGTCTGCGGGACAAGGGTTGCACAACCTTGATGAACTTGTCGTTAACTTTGTACTGGCGCTCGTAGTGGTCGAGGCCGAGGGTCGACTGGCGGTCGCTCGAGTTGACAAAAGTGTTGGCCGCGTATCGCCGGAACAGCGAGCTTTTGCCCACGCCGTACTCGCCGCAGAGGATCACCTTCTGCTCGGGTACCTTGGTCGACGCCATCCTGCTTCCGGACACCGCTCACGACTTAAGACGCATGCTGTCCGAACGCAGGATTCTCGACGCAGTTTGTCTCGGCCTCGAAGAACGAAAATCGCAGGCAGGCCAGGCAGGGTGTTGCGTTTTCGCCAGACATATGACTTGCAAACAAATGGGAGGGGCGTCGCCATTGGCCATCGGATTTTAGCCCGAAAGCGCGCGAAAGGGAACGAGAGCTTGCGTATGTAATTCATTATGCATTATGCATGAGCGTACTGAACATTTACGTTAAGTTTTAGTTTATTTTATTGGCAAGCAGAGCATTGTGAAAAACATTTTATCTGTTCCCATTACTAATTATTCATGGCGATTGCACATTCCATTGTTTGCAAGTCGCGTATGGGATACGTTGCTGCTTTTTGTGTTCACACCGATTTGTAAATTTTTCTGATAGGATTTCGAGAGCTGCAGAAGCTGACGAGGAATAGAAGTGGCCTTGATACTTGATGTCACACAAAAAGTCTAACGGCGGCGGCAATTAAAAATATATAGGCAGGGCAACCGACGCGAGCATTAACATTAAATGCATTTCTCAATACATTTGAATTTTAGAGAGAGAATCCCCAGTTGCCAAATAAGGCTCACAATATCTCATTGTCAAATGGCAATCATCTAGGTAATATAACAATCACGATAAAATGTAGATAATGGTGACTGGTTAACCATTTAGTAAAAATTACTATAATTTAAATCTCCTAAAGTAAAAGTATTTAAAATACTATAATAACTAAATACATTATTCCTTGATTGATGCGATTAAAAATGTTCAATGAAAAGCTTATACAACTGAATTTTCTTATCATGCAAAACCTTTGACATATTTTTCTTTCTTTAATTTTACCTCTTTTTACAGAAAATAAATTCCTTAAGTTTCTTAGAGTGAATGCTGAAAACCGCACTGACTTCAGAACTGCCTGCAGAATGTGAATATTTAAAAAAAGTATTATAATTGGCCTTTGGATTAAGATTGCGGTTTTGATTTTAAAACCACAAACAGCACACCAAAAACGCCTTCATACAGGCACTCATAGAAAAAAGCGGAAAAAAGTAAACGTTTAACAACATCATACATTTTGTAACTTTCAAATCTTGCTGAGAAGTGAAATGAACACCACACAGAAAATGGAGGTAAACGTACGTTTTTTACAGAATATTAAAAAAAAATTATCCTGACAATATGAGAGAAGTTAATAAGATTAAAAATTAAGAATTTGAATGGTTAATAAATATATTTTCAGACTGATGCTGATGCTAAGGTTGCGAACACCAAGGAGTCGACGGTCAGCGGGGGAAAAGAGTTGCTATCGTCGGAACTTAACAAGCAAAGTGATCCTCAGTCTAACGAACGCATTGAACTTCAAAAGGAGGAGATAGCTCAAAAAATTTTAATCCAACCTAACGGCTCTGCAAGCTGCGGCGTGAAGCTGGAAGAAAATAACAAGAATGTTCAAGCTTGCGCTATTATGTGATCTTCTTAATTTTTATCATGGAACATGGAAATCTGCATTCTCCCTTCTTCCTGGCTAAAACTGAATCTTTGCCTAATAATGTACCTTTCAACAGGCTAGTCTTTATATTTCCAGCTTAACTTGATTTATCTGTATACAAAACATACTTCATAATATTATAAAGTAACTCAATAAAATGAATTTTAATACATATAAAATAATTTATAGATGTACTGATCTATTTTTTCCTCACATAAACACCTCGCAGTTTAAACTAAAATTTTACATAGCCAGAAATTTTTACTTACCAACATGTGATAAGGAAGCTAAACAATTTTATTCTTGGTTGAAAAAGTAAAAGTAAGTGTAAAGGAAGACGGAAAAACCTGCAGTAATTATGAACTAAAAACACTCCTTACCACATCCTAAAATATTAATCTAAATACATACTTACCAAACCTTTTATTTATAGTATCGTTTTAATAAATCTCGATTTCATGCATCAATAATTTTTTAATTAATTTTTTGTCAAAATATTTTACTTTGCTCACATGCTCATAATACAAAAGTAAAACTAGATCATAATACGTATATTATTTGTTAAATTTAATTTTACGTTATTTAATTTCTGAAAATTTTCCATCGCCTTCAATTATAAAATATAATTAATATGCGATTATGCGTGACGCAATGGATTTCGCGCGTTTTTAAACGTCGCATTTGAAAAATATGAGAGGATGCAGCTTGTGCGAGCAGAAAGAGTCAAAGACAAGAAAGTCTAACAAGGCATCTATTTTGGATGGCTATAAAATCTAGTCAAGATTTACACTCTCGCCGAAATTTACACTACAAAATTCACAATTATTCTCCACATTACGTCTGCGGTCTGAAAAAATATCCACGTTCAAAATGAAGGTATGAAATTAAATTAAATAATTTAAATCAAATTATTTTTCTTTACAATCAGGAAAATATCAAAACTGTTTTTTCAACTTTTTCAAAAAATTCTAACAATTCTAAATAATGTTTCTCGTTTCTACGAAAATCTTTATGTCTTTAGAACTGTGCAAACCTTGCAAACACCACAAGATCCATCAGCCGAGAGGAAAGTAACACGCTTCCATCCTATAAATGCATCAGACTCCTCTATGCGGAGAGCAAAGGGGCTGCATTATTGCAGAAAATCAAAGTTCCAATTATTATTAGTGGCTGCGTAAATCCAGAAAAAAATTAAACAAATCTACGTTATTAGAGAATATTTTGGTTCGACGGTCACTTGGCTACATCAGCATTACTGTCAGAAGCTTTTTATGTTATTTGATAACAAAGATAATACAAATTGTAATAATATCATGTAATTATTTTGAAAACTAATTATTAAAATTGGAAAGAAATCTTAATAAAATATTTGAATTTTACTACAAATCTGCTACAAATTATATTTAAGTGAAGTTTATACAAATAGGAAGTAAATTAGTTAAGCAACAACCAATTTAAATAATTCTATTTTAATCATAATTATGATCTCACAATCTGGTAAAAACTAAAATGCGCTAAATTAACTCAAAAAGCTAGAGCGTTATTAATTAAGCAAAGTTTTTTATAGGGGGCCGTATCATGTTTAATTATCTTGAATAGTTCTGGGCCAATGGTTTGCTGTGAGAGCGCATGTCAGAAAACTTAAAAAGGTGGAAATGATAAACAAGGCATTTGTAAATTTTCATTTCCCTTCGCTTCCAAAGTTAAAAACTTCCTGCAGCCGACTGCTACTATATAAAATGATTTGAATTATATGGAGAGCAAAAGAAACAAAAGTTTTTACATTATTATACTTGAATTATTCAATTAATTAATCTGAAAATGCGGAAGCTTCGCCACGTTCGTCAATTTTGCTATTTTCTTTTAACTGGAATTATATTCCTTTCGCTGTTGCAATCTTTAAACAAAAAAGGGGAAACTGACTATTCGTCACTCACCGATGATCAGATAAATGAACTTGTGGTAAGATTACTTAAGTTTTTACTTGATGTATTAAGTATAGCTCCGTTAAAATTTTAGAAAGAAGCAGATGCTGATATGGCTGAAAGAAGGGCACGCGTAAAAATGGTTTGCTCTAAATACAATTTGGGTGACTACGAGAAAAAAGGCGATAGTCGAGACGAGCAACTTTTTCAGCATCCACCTATTCCAAAAGACCGAGTTTTCTTTATAGACGAGTAATATTTTTACAAGCGTTTCAGTGTCTCTTATAATTTAATTTACTTGCGTAATATTATTATAGTGTCCACAAAATGACTTATTGTCCCATTTACAAAGCGGCTTCTACTACTTGGCTCCACCAAATGATGTTGTTAGCTGGAATTTCTGAGCAAGCAATACTCAATGAAACCAAAGCAAGAAGCATCTACCCAGAGCCACACTTGAACGACGTAGAAAAGGTCTGAATTTTTTTTTTATAAAATTTTCCTTTTTCATATCGAAATGGTTCATTTAAACTTTTATTATCATACTGTTTTTTTGGTCTTAAAGGCTCTGCGTACCACCTTGAAATTTATAATCGTTCGCCACCCATTTGAACGTCTTGTCTCTGCATTCAGGGATAAACTTGAGAACAAAAGTGCTCGACAGATGAACGGCAATCAACATTTTTACGCAAAACTTTTTGCTCCAAAAATAATTGCTAAAAGTAGAAACTCAACAAGCGGTAGTCCTGAGCCAACATTTCAAGAATTTGTAGCGTACTTGTTAAAAGAAAAAGCAGAAGAGTAAAACAGCAATTAATATTTCAATAATTCCAGATTAAAAATTATTGCTTTGATTTCCAGACTAGACGATCACTGGATACCAAATTACCTTTTCTGCACACCATGTATTATTGACTACGACATAATAGCTCACGTTGAGACTCTGTTTCGAGACCAATTGTATGTGATCAAAAAAGTGAAATTGGAAGGAAAAATTTGGCCTATATGGAGACATATTACGAAGGGACAAAGTTCTGCCGGGGAGATAGCAAAGAGTTATTTCAGTCAACTCACGCAAAGTGACGTTCAGCAGCTATACAAAATGTACAGACTGGATTTTGAGTTGTTTGGATATAATCATTCGGAGTATCTAAATTTTGCAAGAAATTAAAAAAAAAATGGTGAATTTGAGAAAAGAGAGCTTTTTCATTTATATTATTTATGTTTTAATTTAAGAGTATATTTAATTATAATATATAGAATTTTTAACAAATTTTGAAAGTAAAACCCTCACTTTTATTTTCCTAAAAAACTTAATGATGCACGTTTATGACGTAGGAAATATTTATCAAAGAGTGACCTGCTGGCGCCTCGACATTTAATTTCGTGAGACTGATAACAACGTGCGGTTTCCTTTCAAATTGTCCACTTGTGTGACCATTCCTGAATTTTTTTTAAAACCCAGTTTTTAAATTTCTGATACATTTACCAACTTGGTTAATTTTTTGCAGTAACTATAATTATTAAAATAAATCCTAAAGATATGCTGGCGTTCCACAAGCTCATTTTGGTGATATCATTTGGAATGCTGGGGTTTCTTGCTTTATACGGACAAGTGACGCAGCAGGTAGCAAGAGAGATGCAAGTAACGTCCTGGGAGTATTCTGATTTAAGTTTAGAAGAAGTAAACCAGTTATTGGTAAGTTTTTTTTGCGGCTGATTTAAATATTTCTAGGAATTGCTTTTCAGGAAGAAGCTGAGGCCGATATGACGAAAAGGAAAGCCTTGGTAAAAAGTGCTTGCGTAAAGCATAATAAGAGTGAACCTGGCGTTCGTTGGGAGAGAAAATTGGTTTTTAATGGTAACTATTTCAAGAAACACGCGAACTTCTATGTGGACAGGTTTCAAATATTTTAAGAAAATATACCGTGAGACTAAAAATTTGAGTAGAGAGCACAACTACACGTACTGCCCAGTGTACAAGGCAGGTTCTACTACTTGGTTTCATCAAATGCTCATCATGTCCGGGAAATCGGAGGAAAAAATAGATAGATTAAAACAACCAATTGGCAAAGTGGCAAGAGCATATTTTCAACATTCTGACGCTAGTGAAGTTGAAGATGTATATACTTTACATACAAAAATTATATCATTATAGTTTATTGTATTTGGAACTCTTGCAGGTGCTGAGAAAAACTGTAAAATTGTTAATTGTGCGCCACCCTTTTGAACGACTTTTGTCGGCCTACAGAGATAAATTGGAAAATAGCACAGCTGGCCCAGAACATGGATCTTTCTTTTACTACCGACACTATGGTTCAAAGATGGTTAAACTATACAGAAATAATAGTAGCGTCCGACAAGTTGAGCCAACGTTTAAAGAATTCATATCTTACTTGATTCACACTAGGGAAACAAGGTAAGTTACATTAATTTAAATTAGAAATTTATTTCAATAAATTTTTTTACAGATTTGAGCAGCACTGGGCTCCTTTCTATAGCTCCTGCTTGCCGTGTGCCATCGATTATGACATCATAGCTCACGCGGAAACCCTTAACAGGGATCAGATTTACATAATAAAAAAGCTACATCTCGAAAGTCTTATTAGCCCTCTATGGAAACGCATCACTTATGGGCAGAGATCAGTTGGCGAAACGGCAAAAAAATATTTTAAAGAACTTTCCAAGAGAGAAGTACAATTGCTGTATGAAAAATTTAAAATCGATTTTGACCTTTTTGGATATAGCCCGGATGCTTATTTCAATTACGCCAAAGCGCAATAACATTCGAAGGAAATTGCCAATGGCTCATTATTTAATTTCTGTATTAGGAAAAAATAAATCTGTTAAAAATATAAAACTTTCTGCGTTTCGTCATGAATTGAACTAACTTAATATTAGACAAAAAAATTGCAAATGAACATTAGCACGCAAACTAGTTTCATGAATGGCACGTAGCGTGCAAATGCAAAACAGGGTCGCCGATTCTAATGAATGAGCGCGAATGCACAGATTATAAGAGCGGAAGACCAGTCGGTGCGGCAAACACAGGGAAAAGGAGATGCGCGTTGGCAGGGAATTAGCCGTCTGGTTGACAGAGCGAGCGCCAGGGTGTGGTGCTCAAATGGTGAACAAACTTCTCTGGCAAACACGCTCGGCTCCAAAGAAATCGCTTGCAGGTGGGCACGATCACGTGTCCCTAGGTTTGGCCAATAAGCAAAGCTTGCCTTGGAGGTCGAAGACCAGAAACCAAAGCATTTCGCTCAACAACAGTCCGGTCAAAGTGATTCGCTTGCTTCTTTTTAAGAAGGTAATAATCAAAATTAAGGCTTGAAAAATAATTGATAAAAAGTCTATTTTGTATAGAGGACGTGCAGAATTTTCAACATGTGAATTTTATATGGCTTGCTTGACTGCTCTTGCCAATATGCGGACTCCGCGAGTTCTCCGAATGCTGATTTTGTTCTTTGTGTGTCTCTTCCTTTTAATTTTATACAGAAATATTTCCACTCCAGCAAAACAGCACAATTCTCCACAAGAAGACTTTTCCTCTTTGAGTTCAGATCAATTGAATGGTCTTGTGGTAAAAATTTATTTTAATTTTAAATATATTTGTTTTTAAAATAATTATACCAGAGAGAAGCAGAGGCTGATATGGACCGGAGAAGGGCTCTAGTTGAACGCGTTTGCGCTAAACACAATTTAGGTTTGTTCCGAAACTCCGCCAAGCCACCAGATTTCAAACATCCACCTACGCCACAGTACAGTGTTTTCTACATTGACAAGTTTGTATTAAAGCCAGCGGCTAAATTATAAATCTGATAGTGGGCCTGCATTTTTAGGCCTCACAAAATGAGTTACTGCCCTGTTTACAAGGCTGCCTCTACAACGTGGCTCCACCAAATGCTCATTTTGGCAGGCAAAACGGAGGAGCAAATTAAAAATTCACAGCGGCAGCTGAGTGATCAAGCAAGAGAAATTTATCCCATCCAGGACAGTGATCAAGTGGAAGAGGTATGCTTAATAATTTAATTGATTTGAAATTAATGTTAATCACGGATTTAATCAAATTTCAAAGGCACTCACAACAATGTTGAAACTACTTATAGTGAGACATCCCTTCGAGCGACTGCTTTCGGCGTACAGGGACAAGTTAGAAAATAAAAACGTAGGTCTCGAACATGGCGTTCAACACTTTTACACGAGTTATGGCAAAAAAATTGTCCAAAAGTATCGCAATGGCACAAGCGATAGACTTGAACCAACGTTTAGGGAATTTGTCGCGTATTTAATTAAAGAAGATGCTATCAGGTAAAAACAATGTAAATTAATTTTTTAAAATTTCTACTCATCTTGTGTAGATTTGATGACCACTGGATCCCCTACTATCTCTTCTGCACACCATGCTTAGTGCGGTATGATGTGATCGCCCACGTCGAGACCCTCTTCCGAGATCAGATTTACACAATCAGGTTGGCTGAACTCGAAGGCAAACTCAGCCCGTTGTGGAGCCACCTGACGAAAGGCCACAGGTCAGCTGGAGAGACTGCCAAAAGGTACTTCAAGCAGCTGTCCAAGTGGCACGTTCAACGACTATTTGAGAAGTACAGACTGGACTTTGAGCTCTTTGGGTACGACCATGAAGAGTACGTCAATTATGCTGCAAGTGCATGATTATTTTAAGACCAAACAAAGGTAATTGTAAGTATTTCATGATTTTACTTACCAAGCAAGAAAACATATAAGTAAATAATATACACAATTTTCCAATAAATTATTTTTGCACAATCAAAGCAATTTTTATTCAACACTTGAAATTTATTGTTTGCATGAACTGACAATTCTTATGTCACACACAGATGAAAACTTAACATAAATTGAAATTGGACTAGATTGTAGGATGTTTTCGGAGTAAATTTCAATTTCAGATTGAAACAGACAACAGCCACTCAAGAAATAAATCTGAAGCGGCAAAATCATAACAAAGTAACTATGCCAGTATTTTGTACAAAACAATACATGAGTGTTTTTAAATATAATGATTATTGGCAGAGTAGATGGCGAGGGACGAAAATCACTTTTAACGTGTCAATAATAGATACAGAATCTCAGCTCAGTCACTATCAAGCATTAATTATGTTATGAGATAATATTTTTTGCTTTTTATTGAAGTCGAAGATCAAGTTTTGTGCTTAAATCTCTACAATGTGCGATTACTATGTCAGAACAATTATTATGTTCATTGAGAAGTAGTGCCTTCATCAGATTTAACAATTAATGTGATTCACTCAGAAATATCAGTGGCAGTAATATATTATATCTGCACAAGTGAAAGAAGTGTGGACTTTAAGAGAAGTTGGACAAGGAGGGAAATCATATTTGGCACAGGAGTAGAGGACGAGATTCTGTCTAAAAGAGATTCCAAGCACATTTTTAGTTAAGAAATATAAAGAGCATTTCATTACGTTCATCTCTTCTTACTCAGCCTTCAAAAAGCCAGTGTACTGTGTATCAAACAAGAGCCTGACTTAAGCTGAAACCAGCCAGCTATGGATATTTTTTTTTATCAGGCAGTCCTTTGTTTTAATATGCTACTCGTCAAAGCCATTCTCAATCTTAAAAATATTAAACCTTAATTTTTAAGTTGCAAGCCTTGAGTCAGACAATAATGCACTTGTTTCGGAACAAATTAATCTGTTCAGCCTCATTCTCAATTTCAATATAGGCCTGGATTTGGGGAAATTTTGAGTTGAATAGGAATTATTATGTGAAAATGCAATTTGCAGCGTGATTAGCAATAGAAAACGACAGCTTATTCTACTAATAACAACAATACCCACTATATTATAACGATATACATAATTATCGTGATAATCACATGTTGTGGGGCAATAATTTGCACTCAAACGGTCCTGTCACGGGTGATTTTTCTAATTCGTACCTGTACCGAACTCGTTGCTAAATTGCAAAATTTGTTCAGTGTTTTTTTCAACTTTACTTGTTGCAATATTTGTAAATTTTGATTATCAAAGGAAGAAGATAGGTATTTTGAGTGCACATTACTCTAGCAGGGCGTGGACGATTGTGTAAAAAGGTGTATAGAAGTTGTTCTGGCCCTTCAGCAGAAAACGTTTTTACAAGAAATTTCCAACTAACTGCAAGATATATAATTATTACGTTGGCCAATAACACAAGTCAGCAACTAGTAAATAATATTCTTGCTTCAAGAGCCATATTATGGTTGAGATTATTCAAGAGTAATATAATATTATATCATCAATAAGATATTGTAAAGTTTTGGTTAGCAAGTTTAAATCGCTTGATAAATCAGGCCTAGAAAAATTCTATTGGAGTGCAAAATTTTCAACTGGAACTAGCGATGAAAGCTCAACCTGGTGGTGTAAAGAACCACTCAGCAGAATATTAAGCAGGGCTTGCTGTTCGAACAGTCGTCTTTAAAAAAACCATCTTATTTTCATAACTGAAAATTAATTTAAAATCGAACAATAATATTATTATGGACTTATTGAGGGAACAGATTTTTGGTATTTGAGGCATAAAATAAAAAAAAAATTGATGTCTGAAAATAAATATGAGGCTACAGCAATAATTTTTTGTGTGTCTGAATCTCCGAACTGTCCAAGCAGCAACATTAGGAGCTACTGACTAACAAGACGTGAATGTAGATTAGATTAATGGGCTTATTTTGCATCAGCTTAGACCTCTTCAGTGTCCTTGACCAATGGCTCTTTGAGGGACTGAGCTGACGTACTGGTAGGGGTTTGGTTGACAACGGGGTTTTGTGAGTAAATGATCACAGAGTAGCAGACCACAGCGATGGCAAGCACTGTGCTCAGGTGGATTGGAATGCCAAAGAGGAGCCAGCAGAAAACGGCTGTGAACATGAGTTCGAGTGCGCTCGCAAAGGTTTTTAAGATCGAGTTGAGGTTCTTAAGAAAGAAGCTTGTGATAATGCCAATTGCAGCATTGTTCAGCATAATCATCAGCACTGTGGGCCGTAGAACGGCTGCCAGCGCTCCTGGCTGGAATGCCTCTTGAAAGTTGCCCTGTACCATCAACACGCCTGCGTTGCAGATAATCGAGTCAATGTACATGAACACGTTTTGCACATAGATATTGACTTGTGCGCCCTCGCCCTTCAACAGGAACTCATTGTAGACACCCGCAAAGCAAGAGCAGACCGTCTATAAATATAATAAATTTTCATTTTTTTTCTAAGTAGTCAAAATTTTTAAAAATATGTATTGGCAAATTTTTGAAAAAAAAAAATTGTTCCTTCAAAGAGGACAAGAAATTGATCATTAAAGTAAAAAATTCTACTCACTTGGACAAGAATAAACAGTGTGCTGATTTCCCGACTGAAGCTAGATTCTGAGGCCTTGTCTGTGCCTTTGGTGGCCTCGTGACTTGTGTTGCCGACATCAATGTGCTTGATCATGCATCCAAGCGTCAGCAGCAGCAAAGAGATCCACTGCTTGCAGCTCAGCTGCTTTTTAAACAAGACCTGTGAAGATATGTAATGAGCACTTTGCCGGGAGGAGTGTTTAATTCTAGCTCACTTGAAAAACTACTCCAGTAATCACAACCCTGAACTGCAGCAGCAGATAGTATGTGGTGGGGTCAAACGTTGCCAAATTAACAAACGCCAAGTTATTGTACAGGCAGTACATGAAGGCAGGCACAAAGTAAAGCATCATTACTGAAATTTGCATGTCATAAATTTTCATAAAGTTATTACATTGGCATTTATTTACCTCTTGAATACTTTTTAACTTCGTACAACAAAGAGGGAAAGGAGGCACTGGAATTTTAATAAAACATAGCATGAGTAAAATATTGATTTTTCCTGTGGGTAATTAGTAGCTCACTCTTTGCAATAGAGAGCAATGGAGACGAACAGTTTGAGGACTTCAGTCAGCAACACTACAGTGACAGTGTTGTAATTATATTCGCTGGTTGAACTCTGAGACGCTGTCACCAAGATTCCTGCGAAAATTCAGAATTAAAAGTTTAAACAAAAAATGCCGGCTTTCAATTGATTATGTATGTACATACCTTGGTTAATGAAAAGGCCCATGTACGTGACGAAAATTAGCGCACTGACTTTGGTAGGGAACAGCTCGCTCCAGTTGGAATGCATTCCACTCATCTTGTTCTTCATGTTGACAGCCGGAAACTTCAAAAAAGCCAACCGCCCAGATCTTTCCGATGCCTAATCGCCGCTATAATCTAAAATCCGTTTTCCGGGTGCGCTGTGCGGGGGGCTGGACTCATTTTTCCTGTGCAATTACCGCTGAGATTTAGCAATTTCCGCAACTCCTTCGTGGCTGTTTCTGCTGCCGTTTTCTTGCAGCATCACAAGAGTGATTAGTCGACTCAGATTTATCGATTAATACACAGTAAAACGACAAAACATCATCACATCAATAAATATTGGCTGACACTACATTTTGCATTTTGACGCAGAGTAGTTACATTACCAACTTAACACTATCCATTTGTTATCAAATATGAAATAAAGTGTCAGCAACTCAGCATGGACAAAAAAGTGCAGATTAGTTTAAAAGTACTTAATTTTAGCTACATATTTCTTCAATATTTTAAATTAAAAAAAAAATACATTTAATTTCCAGAATTTTCGTATCGATTTTAACTCCAACAGTTTGGTACTTGTTAAGTTTTGCACAGTTTTGCACCTGCTCCTGGCACCGCCCCTATTTGCATCTAGAAGAAAACACACGGGAAAACATTGATTTTTTTGCAAGCAGAAAAAGAAAAAAAATTATATTTTGGAAATAATATATATTTTTTGTCTCCAGGCAATATGAACTCCCCAATGAAAAATATTCCTCTTGACGTCCAGCTGGAGCTGCAGGACATGTATGAGAAGGTGGAAAAGCTCCTGAACGTGGACAGCAAATTGGACCCTCCGGTAGAGCCGTACCGGTCCAAGTACAAAGCGCAGGCCATCCTTAATGACATGAAGACCATGATCACCTACCACATGGATGATCTGGCGTCAGATGACCCTGAGCGACCACTAATTCATGCTATGCTTGGCTCGGTTCTACTCACTGCAGGTACTACCTCTTTGGACGTTGAAGAATTCTCGACAGGAGAAGAACAGCTCACCAATTGTATCAACACCCTTGAAGAATTTTCCCTCCATCCTACATGCATAATTTTTGTTTTGAACGCACTGAATCAGCTTGGAGTTCTCTGGTCTGAACGGGACAACCCTAAAAAGTCTTTACAATTTTTAGAGAAATCAGAAAAATTATACAAAGTAAGATTAATAAGACAAATTTTTAAGATCTATAGAGTAATAGAAAATAATAACGTTTTAGGATTTTGTATGCAACAATCAAGCTGCTGTAAAAATTGTATCACCCAATGATTTATTTGCAACTTCGGAGAAAAAGGGAGATGGCGATGAGAAGCTCGAGAAAACTCATACCCTTACACTTTACTACTTGGCTCAAGTTTTTGGCACTCTCGGTCAGCCTTTGAAGTCTGCTCTTTACTGCCACACTACGTTAAGCAGACAGCTTGAAAGCAAAGAGTTTGATCCAATTGATTGGGCCTTAAATGCAGCTACACTCTCACAGTTTTTTGCCACCCACAATGGATTCAAGTACACCTACTTAAAAATTTAAAAATAATTTTCACTCTGTTAATATATTGTAAATAGAGAGGCAAGACATCATTTGGCAGCTGCACAGCTGATATTGGAGAGACACAAGGAAACCTTGGACCAACAAGAAGGCACAGAGGAGGAAAAAGAGGCCAAGTAATGCTTTTTTTTTAATAAAAAGCCTTCCCTTATCAGCTTAATTTTTTATTTAGGCAAGAAAGGCTGAACCACAGAAGTGCAGATGTTGCAAGATGCTGGGCCAAATATGGCTTAAATTTGTTGCAAATGTCTCATTCAAGACTTATTAGACTCTCCAATGACGATGTCCCTGGTGGAGAAACTGTCCCAAATGTAGATGATGGGTCACTAACGTTAAAAAATCTTGCAGCAAATTCTTCCATTCCTGCAGGTATGGAAATGTAATTTATTATATTAAAAAAAAAAAGAAAAAAAATGGTTTGATTGTACATTTTTAGGAGAGTTTGACAATTTGTCATTTCCAACCTTGGAGCTTGATGTATTCGAGTGCAAAGTCACTGATAAGCCTGCGAATGTATTTGACGAAGCTCGTCCAATTTTTCTGAATGCAAAAGAGTGGCTCGACAAGGCAAAAAGTTACTACACAATGGAGAACCACGCATCAGATGCTGTGGAAATCATGCAAGACATGAGTCGGTTATACCAAAATTTGATTTTCTTTGAGGAGGATGAGGACAGGTAGTTTTAAATTTTTTTAAACCTGTCATGTAATTTATAACTTAATTGATTTTTTCAGGCAAAGTAAAATGCATAAGAGGCGGATAGATATTCTCGAAGAGGCTCTTGGTGAACTGAACCCTCAGTTCTACATGCCAATTTGCAGGCAGCTTTGGTTCGAGTTGGCCGAAACATACACAGAATTATTTGAAATTAAGAGACAGAAGATTAGAAACAGCGATGAGGGCCCAACACCACATGCATTGCAGAAGATTAATCTTATATTGACAAAAGGAATCCAGCATTTAAATAATTTTATTCAGTCACTCTTTGTTAAGGGGTAGGCAATATATTGTTTTATTTTATTTTTTTCTATGTTGAACTGATTTCTGTAGAACTAAATCATTGCCTGACGTTATACAAGATGATTTGGTTCGTCCTGTGCTGCTGGCTTACTTTTACCTTGGAAAATTGTACCGCGAAATCATCGTTCCAGATAAAGAAGTCCAAATTAAAAATTTGAACAGCAGCATTGACGCCTACCAGGTATGTTAATTACATGGTTAAATCATTACGTAAAAATATTGAATCCAGGAAATTTTAATTTAGTTCATTGTGAAATACTGTGATAACCACGAAGAAGCAAAAAATCTAATGAATGCAGAGCTTGGAATATGCAGAGAGATGCTTGAACTGCTGCCAATAAAGTTGAGAAGGATGAGTGAAGCATAATTTTTGTCTAACAACTCTAAAATGACTTTATTGGTAAAACTTTCAAAAGCACAGTAAACAATAACTTATTGCTGCAAATCAGAATTGTGTTTATCTTCATTCAAACCATCAAAAACTGTGGCTTTAGAATTTAACTCTTCCACTCTCGAGTTGCACATGTCAAACGACTCATTTGAAGTGGTCATTATTTCGTCTTCCGTCGACTGTTCGATTTTCACAGGCACCAATGGAACATCACTTGTTACAACCCCCACTGAACTGCCGCTCAACAAATCTTGATTTTCTGTCACATTACTTTCCTCACAACCTTCAGGCTCATCAGCAAGTGGCTCATAGCTAACCAAGTTTTGCAAAGGTTCATCCTCCTTAAGGGTTTCTTTATTTAACTTCGGCTGTCCTTGTTGGACCAAACTCAAAGGTTCTATATTGACAGGTAGTAAATGCTTAATGGGTTCCACAATTTCAGCCTTATTCAAGAATCCTATGCCGTCTCGTTGAATTTGTTGTGGCGATAGGCCTAAATGTGTCGCCAAAACAGATACTGGGTATAAACTTTGCAGGCATCTCTGGATGTGAGGCACAAAGTCGTCCGCAAAGCAAGTGCATAACCTCTGCACTCCTTGTTGCTCTACGCTTGAAAATGCTAATTCTTCTTGTCGGTACCGAGCCAAAATTGCTTTTGAGGCGGCCAGCAAAACATTTTGGACGAGGGTTGTGATCGGTGCTGCCAAAGCGAGTGGTGCATTCAGCCGAAGTGTGTTGCAGGCACTCAAAATGGCATTGCAGAAGAGGGCCAACGGCGTGAATTGCAGCAAGCTCACTGGTGGGTGCATCGAGTTTGGCGACGCTGGAGGGTTCAACGAACTTGAGCTGAATTTGTCAAAGTTCATTTTTTCAATCTGAAATTATGAAAACAAAATTTAAAACCAGATAGTGGTAATTCAGCATTTTTTATTAAATTACCTGACTCTCAAATTCTTTGGTGGCTTTCTTGATGGTGCATTCAAAATTGTGCCTGATGGTTTTTGTGAAAACTGGTGCCATGATCCCTCTGAAATCAGCTCCGACTCTTGCCAAAGACAGACCAAAATACATGCACTGACTTAATACGGAGTCCAACGACTCAGATTCCTCAATCTGATACAGATCTGCTTCCAAGGTTGTCACAAATTGAGAAACCTAACAAAATAAAAATCATCAGATGTGCCTCATGACAAATTATTTTTGATTCAACCTTTTGGGTGAGCCACCCGTGGAAAATAGCTGCTTCGTTATTTGTGGCTCTGGTCGGGTCGTCACTGAAAGCAGCCCTGTACTGTGTGGAGATGGCAAACAGGTGCTGCCTGGAAAGTTCAACCGTCCTTGACAGGTGGTCTCTGTCCTTAGGGACGCTCTCTAGCTGGGAACACAACCAAGAGTCTCTTGCTTGAAGGAACTTGAGCCGCAACTCTGCCTCGGAAAACACCTCCATCCGGCGCAGCAGTCCTACCACTAATAGGCACTTGGGCAACGGCAAGTCAGACCGAAGTTGTGACAGCAGTTGATGCAGCATGGCTTGCCAGGCAATCTGTGTGTCCTTGACAATACTCTGAACAAATAGAATGCAAATAAATCATAAAAAATTCAAGACATGAAAATTATTTGTAGCTTACAGTGATAGCCGGAATGGAATTGTGCCTTCTCTCAAGCCTCCGAACAAAGGCTGCTAGCTGAAGCGCCTCTTCATAGTGTCCGCCATTCACACACATGGTCATCAGCTGAGGAATTTCCAACAACTCGAGAATTTGAGTGCTTCTCGACAACGTAAGTGTGCAAAGGCGGCGCTTTGATTCCAACGTTGACGAGGAACGGCTGAAGTCCTGGCATTGCTCCGTAAATTGTGGAACTCGTCCTAATAAATCTTCCAAGTGTCCTTCGGTTTTCTTGAACTATTTGCCAAAAGCATATATTATTAGATAAAAAATAAAATAATAATCATACCTGCTGAAATATTGCTCTCGAGCATTCTGCCGTTTGGATAAAAGTTTTGTAGTTTGCAAAGGCTAGTTCTTGCGTCTGCTCTAAAACAGAGGCTTCCTCGTCTGCCAGACGGTCAGGCTCTTTACCTAATAAGACAGAAAGATAAATTACTGTTTTTTTACAAACTGATAATTTTATTCTTACTCAATTCTTCAACTCGTAAAGTTCCTAATTTTGTCAGGTATGCTGGGAACTCGGCACTTTCCTGCAGGTGACCTGAGACGAGAAAGTATACTTATAATTCAAAGCAAATATTCCAAATATTCAAAGAACGGGACACGTTTTGATGTTTTATAGTTTTAATGACGTTGGCAACAGGGAGCCGGTTTTTAGACACTGCACTTTCGCCTTGTTTTCAATGAATTTTTATATTACAAGCATTAAAGATTAAGGGCTGAAAATAACGAATCTGTGTTCTTTAAATATTGAAAATTTTCAAAACTATTCAAAATTACCTGGAACACCGTCAGGAAAGATAATATTAATAAAATTATCAGCTTCCTCTTCCATTTTCAGACTTTTTGGCTATCTTCTCGGCCGCTCAGCTGCTGATGATGTTGTCGGTAGGACTGCCAACAAAACAAGAGTCCTTTTTATTGTTGTTTATTGGATTTTAATTATTTTGATCAATTTATTTTGATAAAAAAAAATGCAAATACACAAAATATTTATAAGTAAAAGTTTATTTTCATTTTTGAAATAAGTCTTAGTCTTTTCTGATAGAGGACTTTAAAAAAAATAACAATAATCTGAATTATGTATGTATAATTAATTAAGTTGGCTCCTTCTTAACTTTATGTGCTCCTTGTATCTGTTCTGTGGTGCTGTCTGCCAAATTTCACTTGTAAAAGCCGCCAACAAAACGTTCTTGCGTATTGCCAATGCATTAACATTGTGTTTAATACAGAATACTCCGTATTGGAGACTCCAATATTGAGCAATTGTCGCGTTAAATAAAAATTAAGACAATTTTAAACTAAAAGTCGTCCGCTATATAATCTAGTGTAATATTTTTAGCATATTTTATTTTTTGAATAATTAGAAATAAAAACAATTTTAAGAAGTAATTGCTGTAATAAATAATTATTAATTATATAAGAAAAAAAGTCATCAAAAACTAGAAATCATCCTGCTTCAGTCTCTTCGGTTATACAAACTTTGCGATTTGCGACCACGTAACCAAGGCACAGTTTGAAGTTTTGGATAATAAAAAAGTTAATTAAAATATGATATTTCAATGTATCCCAAGGTGGCAAGGTGCATTTATTTTGTGAAAATCCGCGCACATCTCAGGAACTGTTAACTCAGCGAAACAGAAAATTTTAAATGGGTGCTTTGATTTTTGAGTTTTCTCCGTGGAGAAAGGTGCGATAATTAGTTTGTTTAGTAAGATTTTTTTTAGGGTAAGGCCATGTCAGCCTGTGCCCTTTTTTAGTGGCAGAAGGCGCCCATCAATTTTGTCTTATTGTTTATATTTTTCTATTTTTTATCTTTTTTAAATTAAGCATAATAATTAAATTTATTTTTGCAAGCATATATCCTGTTGGCGGCCACGCGTTGATGCTATATTGATACAAAAAATTTGCATCCATTTCACGCCAAAAATTTGAGGATCTTTACTGAGTTAAATTTGAAGTGGAGCATCTCGAATTCAATAAAACTTCTTGTCGCTTTTGGCGAGTGTTCCCGAGTTTGGCCTTTGCTATTAATGTAACTATTTAGGTACTCCAGAAGAAGATTATCAATATTTGCCAAAAATTAATCAACTCATGATTTAAAAATTTCCTGTCAAAACCTGTGCATATTTCAATTTCCATAGGAAGATTTCAATCATGAGGAGTTTAAAGGTATGTTAGATTCAATAATTTTATTCCTGCATATAAAATGTATCGCCTTTTTCTTCGTGGATTTTTGTGAGTAAATTTTGCCTCTTGATGAACAAAAACTGCTCGCAGAAACAAAAATTATTATTTGTGAAATTCAACTACAAAGCTAGTATTCAAACTATTTCCGCCTTTTAAAAATAATTTTGCTATTTGTCGTTTTAAAAGGAGTAATGACCAATTAGTTTGTCTTAAAATCTGTCCCGTCAGGCTAAATTTTTATATTGCCCAATTAATTAGCATTGATAAGCATGTGGCTGCAAAAATTTCCATAATCCAGCATGCATAGGTTGTTTTCCTTCAAGCTTGAAAGCAGCTTTTAGCAATTTTGGTAATCCCGATTCACCAGTTTCCTTGTAATGGCACAACCTTGTTAAGCCTGTGTATTATTTTATAGGAGCGGCGTACAACATTAATGCCCACTCTCTAAAACCCCGACCCCAGGATCAGTAATGACATATAGAGACGAATTTATCTTTGAGAACAAAAGAAAAGTTAAGGCAACGACCCATGGTCGCGACCAACCAACTTGCACCTTGGTGTCGGAGACGTTAATGTATTTTCATATATGCTTTAAAATTATTCCACTTCTAGTCGTGAAGCGGACGGCATTGCCTGGCGAACACCAAACCAGTCTTCTCCCGCGAGTCGGAGATGAAATAACACACAAATTCATCGTGAAGCTTCAAGCGAGAGATGAACACTCCTTTATAATTAAGGAAGGAATTTTCGAGGTAACACACATTTGACCTTTTATGTTTAACATTGAGAACCTGAAATTCCACTTCTACCTTTTTCTTTTTTTTTTAAATAATTTTCTACAGTTTTCAGCGCAAAATGAGCCTTTTGATCAGGGGCATTTGCGCCCTCGCTTGCGTCTCGCAGAACATTAGACCAGCTTTCCAGCAGCAGCAACCCTCTTTTCCGAAAATCTCTGATAGGCAGTATACAACGCAACCGCGATCGCCGTGTCCCGAGTACTTCACGTACCAGTCGGACAACTATGGATCAGGAAAAAAAGGCGTCCTCTCGATTCAACCACCTAGCGACAGCACTGTTATCACCGTATTGCTCGAACTAGTTTTGAACACCCGACTTAACGAGGTCAGATTACCCACTAAACTAAACATATGGCCGTAATTTAATTGCTAAAAATTTAACTATTCAGAATGATTTCACCGGAAGTCTTGATTTGGCCGAGAACAAAGATTTGGTCGTCCAGAGATTACAGCAGGGCGATCGCAGTCCCATAATTTATCGCGTGACATTCCCTTTGCAAAACCCACTGCCTTCCATTACCAAAATTGTGGTCAACAATCGCGTAGTCTGCAGCGCCAATCCAGGTTTCATTGAAATATAAATAAACGAGAAAATATATATTTTATTTATTTATTAGGAAACGTGTATGGATATGTCACTAATTTGAGGTTGGACCACTCACTGACGTCGCCCGTGCCAATAATTTTCAACTCGAACAGCTATCCTGTCCAAGGAGGCCAAAATAACCCTCAACCACAAAGACCTCTGCAGCAACAAGGCTCTCAGAATCCACTCCAAACCAATTTTGGCAACCCGCAACCAACCCCCACAAGACCACCAACAAGACCGACCTGGATCACCCCCATACCAGCTACAGCTGCAACACAACCCCCGCAACCCCAATTTCAAATTGAAACTGAAAATACAGGTTCAAGTATGTTCCGTTTTTTAATTATGATAACTATTTTATTTTTCATAGATGCTCTTTATTTATTTTTATTACTAAAATTTCATCCTTTAAAATTAATTAAAATTGATTAAGTACCATTACTCTGGACGCTTTCTAATTTGACAGGCAAATACCAAGAGTGCGGTGTGTCGCCCCAAGTTTCGTTTTTGTTGGTGAACGGCGACAGTGTGGCCAAAGGTTCTTGGCCCTGGCTCAGCGCGATTTACGACACCACGGACACGGGACTGTCGTTTATTTGTGGGGGCACGCTCGTAACAAATAGACATGTAATTACTGGTGAGTGCTATTCAAATTTCAATTAAGTGATGAAAAACAGTGTGTCAATAATTTGGTGGGTTCTGTTTTGATGCATAGCTGCGCACTGTGTGGCCGTATCGCAGGGAAAGGCAACTCTCAAAAGGCCTGAACGAGTTTTGGTTTATCTAGGGAAGCACAACATCGTCAATTTTATTGAACGCGACGCGGTTCCGAAAGAGGTCAAATTTTATATAATTATGAACTAACAATTAAATTAATTAATGGAGGAAAATAACACTCAGTTTTACTTGTTAGAAAATTAAGAGGACAACTTAATCACAAAAGTTAGCAGTTCTGCGTAATTTGATTTTTTAATCAATTAAATGAAATGTTATAAAGATTGAATATTTAAAAAAAAAAATTCTAAAAATATTAATAAAAAAAAAAATATCTTAAAATTTTTAATTAAAAATAAAAATTTCAAAATAGAAGAATAAAAAATATTTATCTCAAATTTAAATATTAATTGTATAAAATACCAATTATTAATATAAAAATTGTAAATAATAATAAAAAAATTCAATTTTAATTTATTTTATATTTAAAGCTTTGTTTTGATATATACTTTGTTCCAGATTTCAAGCATTGTAGCCCATCCGCAATACACAGGCAAATTGGATTCTGCAGGTGTTGATCTTGCGGTTCTCACATTCGAAACTGTCACCACATTTACTGCTTACATTAGACCAGCATGCCTGATGGACCCGAACAGACAGTATTCGAACACAGGAAATGTATTATGATCTTTATGAAAATAAAATTTTCTCTACTAACGGATCTTTTCCAAGGTCGTGGGATGGGGTCGAGACGAGTACGGAAACCCAGTTTCTAAAATGCCGCGAGTCGCTTCCATGCCCATTGTAACCAACGAGGAGTGCCTCAGGGCAAATCCCGACTTCATCCGCATTACTTCCGAGACGACCTTTTGCGCCGGCCACAGAAATGGTCAGTTTATATAATTCATGCTCAATATTTCTAATCTATGTGTTTTTAATATAGGCACCGGTCCATGCAAAGGCGACAGTGGCGGGGGATTGTACGTTTGGGATGCCAGCTCGAGAAAGTGGTCCATCCGCGGCGTGGTCAGCCAGTCATTGTGGGACAACAACATTAACTCTTGTGACCTCAAAAACTATGTAACCTTCACAGATGTCAGCAAACTCATGCCCTGGGTCAAGCAAATGACTCGACAATAAAATGTCCTGATTTTGTATTTTGTGCAATTTTGGATATTTTTGCTTTTTTATAATAAATGCATTGGCGATTTTATATAAACTTGTCTTTTGGTTTTATTAGAGTTTATTTTGTAACTACTGTTCTATTTTTCACTCTTGAGAAGAACACGGTTTGAAAGATTGTGCCCCTCATGCACCAAGAGCCACTCTTTGACACTCACTTTCTTGCCACTTGAATAGTTCCCCACCTGTTGCTTGCCAGAAGCTGAGGTCGAAGGCAGAACTCGATGGCATGGAACTATCAATTGAAATGGATTTTTCGCCATCGCTGTTCCGGCAGCTCGGGTGGCGTCTAATTATTTTTCAATTAGTCGTAGTAATATTCTTTTAATGAATTAAAAAAATTGTTGGCGATTTCAATTTTTAAGAGTTAAAAAGAAAACTTACTTGGGCTTCCTGCAAGTGTCGCCAATTCCTTGTACGACACAGTATTTCCAAAAGGAACTTTCAACAGGGCAGTGTAGACTTTGTCAAAGAAAGGGGCATCTAAAAATAAGTTTTTTTTTTTTTAATTTGTTAAAAAAGCTTTTTGCAAGAATTCTGACCTGTGGCACTGTTGATGGTGCAGAAGGACGGAAATTTGACTTCAGAAATCTTGGTAGGGTTGTGGAAGTAAGTGTCCAGCCAGTTTATGCATTCTTTCAAGTGGCCGTATTTGTTATTTCCACTCAAAAGTGTCACTTCTTGACTGAAATAAAAACATACAAAAGGACATTGAAATGCGGCAAAATTCTTAGGATATTATCTTTAAATATTATTAAATACATAGTTGATTAATTATAAAGTAGTTGATGTAATATTAATTGATTTTTTTTTACATTAAAAGCATGCATCGTCATCAAATTATTGTTGTGTATTTAGAAAAATTCATTTTGTTTTAAATTTATAGTGCGATTAAATTGATTATCATTTGTTCAATTCTTTTTTGACCAATAAAAAATAATAATTAAATAACTGCATCAAAAATGGTTTAATTAATTAGAAATGATTTAGATTCTTGCTTAGTATTTTGTTAAATAATGAGTGCCTTTTATAAATTTATCTACTATTAACAAATACTACAAAAATTTTAATATTGAAATATTCAAGTTAATTTAAGGCAAATAGAGAACTTTATCGCGACCTGAATTATGCACTGGCGTGTTTCCAACTTTCCAAATAGTAATTCCTAATTTTCCCATGAAGATAATCTTTTCAAAATTGACCAGAAATCAATGATCAATCAATGATGTGATGAGCGATGAGAGATTTAATAATAATATCAAATAATATAATTAATTTATTTAAGCGCTTTTTCAAATTTGTACAAAAAAATCTTCTCAGTCCCTCTTTTATTTTAAAGAAAATAACCGTGTTGATTTTACAAAATTTGATAAACCCAATTAATAATAATTTAAATTAAATTAAGAATTGAAAAGCTTCTTCTAAAGTATATACATCTGTTGGTAGCACTGTTTTGGAAGCCCTCAGTTCTGCGCTAAAAGACTTTTAGGTTTTAGGTCTACATAAAAAAAAGTAAAAAGTGAAAATCTATCACTCAAAGGCAACAAAATAGCCACAACAATCTTATCACACAAACCTTGGTGCCGGTTTAAAGTTGCTGTCGCTGATTTCGGGCGATTGATTCACAGAGTGCAAACCAACGGAGCAAAACTCGATGACAATGTTCCCGATCGGCGAACTCACTTCAGCCCTCCACTGTCCATTTGAGCAGATCTTCATTTCAAGATGACACAAAACAATGTGAGTAGAAACCTGTTATTATTCACTTGCACACCAGAGACAGGTAGAATTCTCAATTCTCAACACTTTCGTAACCGGCGTCCCGCGTTTTCTGCTTCCAAATTCCAAATCATCTGGATTGTTTTGGTTTTTGCCATGACATAAAGTACATAAACAATGTGCGAAACTGTGCCGGTCTTAGTTTCACGTAACAAACCTAGATGGCAGGTAGCATTGACGACTGCCAAAATATAGAAAATTTTCATCTATCAATCTCGATAATTTAACAGTTTTCTTCTTAGAATGTATTTTGTTTTATTAATAGTTTTTAAACTATTATTTTTTTTTCATTTTTAATTTCATGTATAATTTAAAAAGTAAATAAATATGTTCATAGAAAAATTACAAAATAATATATCAATAAAAAAATTTATTTTTATTGAAATATAATTAATATATTAAATTTATTTTGCTAAAAATTGGTAAAAAGTTTTTACTCTTTACGTTTTTTTTTCAACAATAATTACCGCATTGCACGGACTTAATAATAAGTTAATGCTCTATTTTTTTTTCCAATTTCTAGAGACAATTTTACTGGCACAATCAGAAATTAAGAAATAGAAGCAAAACACATGATAATTTTGCTATACTAAGTAAGATTTAATTTGTAGATAATTATTTTTAAAATTTAATACTATTTATCGGTTTTGAAACAAATTATAATTGATGTTCAAATTAAAATCAATTGAAAATTTCAATACCTCGTGTCAGCAGCCAATACAAGACGCCCAAATAATGGGTAATAAGCACCAACATCCATTTAATTTATGATAATCGCTAATTGCAACAAGGCGTATACACTGCGTTTTAAATTCCAAATCATATCAAAACCCGGTCAGATTTATCTACTTTATCGGTGCCGAAAACTCAAAAGGGCCTCATTACGCGCGCTAAAAGCTGTTAGAGCCAAAACACCGCGTGGCTCTGCATTTTTTTTTTACGTACGTTCACTTGCTCAAATTTAATCTCCTAACTCAACAGGTCACACATTTCGGGCCCTTGACCTAGGCCCGGTGCGTACAACTGGTCTCGGCTCTTATTGTTAGAGAACTAGTTGAATTAGGCGTGGTCCAGATATTGACAAAAAGGGCCCGGCCCGGTGTTGTGCTGGTGAAAGGTCGGCGATATTAATTGCTAGTCTTGAAAACACACTTTTGTTCTCGCCGTGTGTGCAGAGACACAGAAAAAAGTTAAGCGCGACGTAAATAAATAAATGAGTATGCAAATGAGCGTGCATTGCCGGTTGCCGCGGGTGCATCTCGTTTGTTCTGAAAGTCGTGAATAAGGAACTTGAACGCATTCACTGAACTTTCTCCCTCAAAATTTCGCTCTACAATTTAATTGCGGTATTTTGCGTTCATTCGCAATTAATTCTGTGCTAAAAGGACTTTATTCCAATAAGGGAATTACATTATTTTAAATTTCATGAACATTCTATAATATTTAGAAAAAAATTATGATCTCAAATGAACTCTCAAGAAAAACGATATAAGTTTTTTTCATATACTTTTTCGTATGGAATTCACACAATCTAATTAATAAAAGAGCTATAAGATTGTTCATCACTGAGAATATTAGTTTGATGCAAAAATTTTGATTTCGGCATTATAATAATAGTAGCTTATCACGGCCTATCATTTTCAATTAAATTTGACTTTCAAAATAAAAATTTCATATTCAAAATTAGTCTATCTGCTGCAGATCACTGCACATTTAAATGAAAATATAATTTGTATAGAAAAAAACGTGAAGATTGGCAATAGATTTTGTTAAAGCTTGTTCGGAAATTAATGAATTTAATAGGAAAACTAGATACCAAATTTAATATTAAAATAAAAAAAATATACACTCTGTAATTAATGCTGCTATACACCATAAGTATGTATGTATTTGCAATACTCTGCTATAAATATAGTGATTTTGTTTGTTCACTTTGTTGTTATGTTGATAGCTGTCAAAGTCAATTAGGTGCACCTTAGTTATTAGTTCAGTGCTCAGTGCACGTAAACATAGTTGACGCCTCGCAGGTTACCGCACATTAAGATATTGCCCGATAATTTTAATTTTCTTCACCTTCTCCACCCACAATCAATCGGCCTTGACACGAAAAGAAAAAAAAAAGAAAACTCGGCGGACACACACGTCATTCACCGCGAAAAATCGAACTACAGCTTTATAATTCCACTATGGCCAAATAAATACGTTCTGAGGAATTGAAATTTTTTCAATAAAACAATATTCGAAGTTTTTTCAGAACATGTATAGGCGTGCGTCGAGTAAAAGCAGAGCGTCTCTTGAAATGCAATCTCGTTGCCAATTTGAACGCTTTTTGTCCGAGGTCGGGGGTCACTCCGTGCAAAAGGTGAAAGCGACCTTAACGTTTGTAAAGACATGCATGCACTTTGGAATAAATCACGTGCAATGAACTTGAACCTCTGCACGGTTTGACATCTTAATTCGTGAGAGAGGATGCTACTGTGTAGATTAAAAATGAAGTTTAAATAAATTATTTATACATTTCTTTTCCTCTTTCCTCTTTAAACATTTCTAGACTGATGCTGATGTACATGCAGTCTTCTTTTTTTAATTAAATGGTGGCTTTATAAGGTTTAAAAATTTAGTTAAAACCCAGGTAAAGTTTCAAGAGAGCAAAATAGTCTCAAAAGTCTTTTTTGCAATTTATTTTAATTTTATTCTTGTTCTAAATTATTAAATTAATGCGACCACCAAAAACAAAAGTCTAGAAAAAATTTAAAAATTCATTTTAAGTTTGTGAATAATTATATAATTTGCTAAGATTGCAATTTGGAGCGAATTAAAACAAATCAATGGCTTTTTTCTTTTCAGTATAAAAATGTCACGTTTTTATTGACGAATGTGTTGCAACTTGCAACTCATGAAGTATATCAATAACTGGAAACACCTTTTTGCCGAGGTGGCATAAATCCACATCGTAAATTTTTCTCCCGTAATAATCGGCCGGGCCATCATGACGCGGAATTCGCGTCTCATCAAGCGCTGCTCGCGGCTCTGCATGCAGTGATATTATTATTTAGATGAGCAAAAGTGTTCCCCAACCCAAGGGCTCTGAGCAGAAAAGTACAGTTGCATAATGCAAACATATTTTGTAATTCTATCCGTGCCGTGTATCAACTAACAGATCTGGCGCTGAAAATCGCTCCGAATTTATTATATTTAGCGATAGCACGGGAGTGGAAAAGGAAAGGAACTGCTGAATCCAGCAGGGCGCGATATGAAAAGGCTCACGGTGAACAAGGTTGGTTTTTCAGTCTCGCCGAGACCGGCAAAGATTATGCTGGTATGAATAAATATATAAATGAACATTGGTAAATGTAACAAGTGGTCAGCATGCAGAGTGGGTGTTCACTCCTGCTCACTTCAAACCTGATTAAACTATTATGAAACAACACACGCGAATCAACGCACCCATTATAAAAAAATTCTCTGACACTTGATTTTTTTGGTTGTTTGAGATTTCGTAAACAAATTTTATTGTTGTTATTGTGAATTGGGTTTGTGGACGCTCCGCTCTCTTTTGCTTACAAAAGTGATAAAAAAATTACTATATTTTTTTAAATTATTGTAATTATTTTCATATTACTAGTGTAAACATAATATCTATTAGAAAATGACGAAAGAGAAAGACTGTTTTTTATATTTATCATCTTTCACAAATATAGAAACCTGGACTTTTAAAATATTAGAAAACTAATTTTGGAAAAATTACTTAAAAAAAACTTAACGATTTCAAAGTAGATTAGCCAAATAAATAAATTGCTTGTAAACAGTCTCCTGTGTGCACTTTCTCTGCTGCAGTCAAATTAATATCAGAAAGCTGGAGCGGCCTCAGTTAATCAATTTTCGCTGGCATTCCAGTAATATCTGGCACCTCCTCAGGAGAAAGACAATCATGACTGAGTGGCAAAAATTGCCCAATAACTCCTTCGCGTTATGCCTGTCAGTTTTCACGCCTCCTGCGATTTCCCATTTGATAAGTCAGAACTTCAATTCCTCCGGTTTTAATTGGTATTCGTTAATTCCCAGCCGACCACCGGGCAGTTGTTAATCGCTGCCATTAATTCAGCCCGTTCTGATTATGATCGACGAGTAAATCAAAACACCAGTGAAATGCGCGCTTGTTACAGCTCAATTCAGATACAGCGTTTAATTATGAAGACGGCGCGCGCGTATCTCGCATTTTGATTGTGAATTGCATAATTTGTCAATGATTTTATAATTTGCGCGGCAGGAAGTCATTTCCAGGTAAATTATTACTTAACCTATATTAAATGCATGCTATAACAATATTAATTGTTAAATATTTTTGATCATAAATGAGCAAATTTCCCCCTCATAATTATTTAAGTAATTAAATTAAAAAAATAATTTTTAAATATATTTTTCAATTTATTGCAAAATTAATTTCTTTTTAAATTTATAAACTTAATTTATAAAATAAAATAAAATTTATAAATAAATCACAATTTTAAATTTTTAAATTTTTAGAACTTAAAATTCATAAATAACTTTGTTTGATATTCTGAAGTTACAAATTGTTATTAATACAAATTTTTTTCTTTAAGAGTGCTGGTTCTAACATAACTAAATTATGAAAGTAAGAAAAAATAAAATGGCATTTTGAATCTAAAATCACAATTAAGAAAATATTTCGCCCCTGCAAGCATAAGTTAACGATACTTTTTGAATCCCTTTTGACTCTTTCCTAAAAAAGAGAAAAATCCCACCAAAATGATCTTGCCCTTGGATTAAAAAAATATCCTTGTTGGGCATCTTAAAATTGTTGTAATTTCTGTTGTAAAATTTCAAACTTCATAAGAGCACCCCCTTATAAAAAGACAAAACAACACACAAAACAAGACTTTTTGCTGATTTAATTTGTTATCTCTGCGATCTCACGTTGGATTCGCCCATAAGTGTTA